CCCTAGTGACTGGGGCCACAGGCGTGAGCTACCATGCCTGGCTAATTTATTTATTTGTTTATTTAGTAGAGATGGAGTCTCAATATGTTGCCCAGGCTATTCTTGAACTCCTGGGCTCAAGCAGTCCTCCCCCCTTGGCCTCCCAAAGTGCTGGAATTATAGGCATGAGCCACTGTGCCTGGCTTTTTTTTCTTTTTCTTTTTTTTTTTTAATGTAGCACTTCTCCTGGTCCCCCAAGATACCTAACGTGTTTCCCCTTTCCCAGCCCTGGTACTTTGTATTGGAGGATAGTATTTGGCAACCAAAGTCTGAGTACTAGGTATGCTCATTGCTACTGAGATGACACCAGTTCTACGTCCTTTTAACATACAGAGCTAGAAAAATATTTACATAGATAGATACTAATATGTATGCATACTATACTAATGTATACACAACCATCTATGCTTATTTTATGTCTATGTTTATATATGTATGTATTTGTATATATGTATCATATATATGTAATTTTTTTTTAGAGATGTGTGTCTTGCTGTGTTGCCCAGGCTGGTCTTGTACTGCTGGGCTCAAGCAATTCTTTTACCTTGTCCTCCCAACGTGCTGGGATTACAGCCATGAGTCACTGCACTTGACCGACCTACCTACCTACCTACCTTCCTTCCTTCCTTCCTTCCTTCCTTCCTTCCCTCCCTGCCTCCCTCCCTTCCCTCCCTCCCTCCCTCCCTCCTTCCTTCCTTCCTTTCCTTCCTTCCTTCCTTCCTTCCTTCCTTCCTCTCTCTCTCTCTCTTTCTTTTTCTTTCTTTTTCTTTCGAGACTGAGTCTTGCTCTGTCACTCAGGCTGAAGTGCAGTGGCATGATCTCAGCTCACTGCAAACTCTGCCTTGTGGGTTCAAACCAGTCTCATTCCTCAGCTTCCTGAGTAGCTGGGAATACAGGCACACGCCACCATGCCTGGCTAATTTTTATGTTTTTAGTAGAGATGGAGTTTGCCATGTTGGCCGGGCTGGTCTTGAACTCCTGCTCTCAGGTGATCTGCCTGCCTTGGCCTCCAAAGTGCTGGGATTACAGGCATGAGGCACCGCTCCCAGCCTTGACCTTAAAAAAACCTGTGAGTTAATAAGGATCCTTTTTTCTCCAGTCCACTGCCACCAGGTTCATTCTATTATTCTTCCTTTGATTATTTGTACTATGACTTCTCTCTTTGACTTTCATTATCTATAATATATTACTTATTCATTATAGACATAAAGTTATTTTGGAATTGCTAATCCATACCCCTATGAGAAGCAGATTTGCCAACCAGAGTACAGTGTCTGTGTTTAATTTTATTAATGCTTAGTATTTTTTTTAAAACTAGAAATAGAATGATATATACCTTTAATAAAAGCAAGACTAGGGACAGAGGACAAGCAAGAAGAATAGGCAAAATAAAATTCACCAACTATTCAAGAATCATTCTCCTTCTAGAAACTATAGTCACTTAGGGTACTAGAATAAAATAGAGAAAGCATGGCTTTTGTAATAGTAGAAGAATAAATTTATTTAATGATGTCCAGTAATTCCAGTGGAATAGGTTATATTTATTTAAAGCCTAACTCCAAGAAAGAAATTTCTGTGAAGATGTTATAGATCTTCTCTACCCTTCAAATTAGTTTTTTCTCTAATATTGCAATTTCATCTCCTCCCCACACTCACTACAAACAACTCCACCCTGTCATGGAGACTGAGAAAAGAGCTCTGGGTTGCCCTCTGCCATTCTGGAGTCACCTGGCTAACACCAGAACAGGCAATTGTGTATCGGGGCCAATGCAAGGACCAGTCAGCTCTGGGGAAGGGTGATATTCTCTGATAAACAGGCAGCAACCAATGCTGAGGGGCAAATTGTTAATTTTTCTCTCCTTTAGCATAATTCATTTGAATATGATTTGAATATTTGACCTTTGTATATATTTTCAGTATTACCAAAACTGGCTTTTTACAAAATCTTGTCCCTCCCTACGACTAAAATGAATTTTTATTCCTTTTCACTTGCCCTATGTTATTTGCCGCCTAATATATAGAAGTGACAATATTCATGGTTGGCTGTGCCATAAAGTCATATTCCCATGACTTTAAAGTGAACAGTGGCTAGTAATGGTCACTCACACCTGTAATCCCAGCAATTTGGGAGGCCAAGGCAGGAGGATCCCTTGAGCCCAGGAGTTCGAGATCAGCCTGGGCAACAGAGTGACACCCCATCTCTATTAAAAATTAAGTGAATAATACTTGTTAACTTTTGGGACTAGAAATCCCATTGAAATCTCTCTCTCTCTCTTTTTTTTTTTTTTTTTTTTTTTTTTTTTTTTGAGATAGAGTCTTGCTCTGTCACCCAGACTGGAGTGCAGTGGCACAATCTTGGCTCACTGCAACCTTTGCCTCATGGGTTCAAGTGATTCTCCTGCCTCAGCCTCCCAAGTAGCTGACATTACAGGCACCCACTACCGTGCCTGGCTAAGTTGTTGTGTTTTTTTTGTTTGTTTGTTTTTTTGTTTTTTTTGAGATGGAGTCTTGTTCTGTCACCCAGGCTAGAGTGCAGTCTCAGCTTACTGCAACCTCCGTCTCCCAGGTTCAAGCGATTCTCCTGCCTCAGCCTCCTGAGTAGCTGGAATTACAGGCACCCACCACCACACCTGGCTAATTTTTTAGTAGAGTTGAGATTTCACCATGTTGGCCAGGCTGGTCTCAAACCCCTGACCTCAGGTGATCCACCCACCTTGACCTCTCGAAGTGCTGGGATTACAGGCATGAGCCACCGTGCCCGGCCTAAATTTGATGAGTGAATAAGCATATGCACAAAAAACAAAAAGCAAAACAAAACAAAAATCTAATGAAAACTGAACTGTCTTGCCTCAAAAAAAGTACACATATGTGCACATACACACAGAGTATTGTACATAATTTCAGGGAATTCTTGTGCCTCTCATGGTTTAGGGATTTCTAAGTACTTACCACATGCCCAACTTGCCTCATTACTTTTCACCACAACCCTGTGAGCCCATTTTACAAACAAGGGATTTGGGTTAAATACTATACCTCAAAACCACATAAAAAGTAAGTATTCATATCAGGATTTGAATCCAGGTCAATATGATCCTAGAGCCAAGCTCTTGGCCACTCTTTCATATTGTGTGCCACTTTTTTTAATAGGTAAAGGGGTATGGAGGAGAGAAACATATTCAAAAATTTTAAACTTCTGATCCAGTAGGTGAGTGATAAAGGTTTAGGCTATGACTTTTCAAACTATATTAGCAACAATTGTTAATATAAGTTAGTATGTCTAATGAAAATGTACTTCATATTGTTTTCCATTTCCACCAGTTTCTGTGATATTGGAAAGTTCTAGGAAAATAGTGCATTTAATAGCTGAGAAACAAATCAGGAATAGGAAGTAAGCAAAAAGCATGGGCCTTTTTCACAGTCCTTGCCATCATTTATCTAGATGCTGTGCCTTGTGCATTTTCAGGATTTGGAATATCGTTTAGATCCAAAGACCAAGGAGCTGCCTCACTTACGAAATCCTGACATACTTGTTGGTGAAAATGACCTCACAGCCCTCAGCTATCTTCATGAGCCTGCTGTGCTCCATAATCTCAGAGTCCGCTTTATTGATTCCAAACTTATTTATACATATTGTGGTAAGTATGCTTTGCTTCCCGAATAGACTGTGAATTCTTTCCTCTAATGGACATAGCCACGGAAATATTGTACATGGGGAAAACAGACTGGGGTTGGATTTTCTCTTAGAGATACAATCAATTCAGCGTTATTAGAAAAATATACTAGTATTTATTAGCCAAGTTGCATTTGTGCTGAATAAACTCATTTGTGAGCGTACATAATTTTGCTAAAAATAAAAAGAACTGGGCCCTTCTTTTGGAATTTTTCCCCCCTCACAGAAGTCATATGTCAGATTTAGTGCCAAATTCACCAGTTATTTTCATCTGTTCCAAAACTACCACATGAAGAGTAGATGTCCAAGGACTTCCTTTGGAGCAGGTTCAAGAGATTTAGTGTTATCTTGTGGTCAATTACTCAGCCATGCAGAACTGCCTTGACTTGCAGTGATTCTTCTTGCTCACTTCTGCTTGCCTGGGCCTCTGCTCATTGCAGTATTAGCTGCCAGCCACCCAGGTCATGGTGCTTTTTATCTCTCTGAGAAATAAAGCCTCTGCATGTGTGTATGTTTGTGTTACTTTCCCCCATCTCCAGCTTTCCTTCTTTTTTCTCTCTTTCCCAGTTTATTCTTATCTTTTATTTTCTCCCTTTCCTCTGGCTGTTTTTTTCTCCACTGACATCTAGTTCTTTCACTAATCATTCTGTCCTCTGAAGCTCAAATCTGGATTTCCATTCATTTCTATTTATGTTCATTCATGTAGTATACCCAAATCAGTGCTCAACTCAGTTCTTCATTACTCTCCTGCTTTAGGGTTAAATACTATACCTCAAAACCACATAAAAAGTAAGTAAAAAAAAAAAAACAGGAACAGCCACCTTTTCTTCTTAAAAGTATTGACCTCCTTTATATCACTGATATTAACTCTTCTTTACTGATAAATATTTTTCTCAATTTTTATTTTTCTTCCATTTTTTTTTCTTGCACACATCTTACCTTTTGAGTGAAGTCTTGTCTGGCCACCCTATCAAGTCAGAAACCCCTCCTTGCTCTCTTTCTTCCCTGCCTTATTTTTTACCTCCTTTTCCTTAATCTGTGATTATACATACATATATATGTATTTTATATATATATATATATATATATATATCTATTAAAATATATTTCTTTTTTTCTTACTTATCTTGTTAATTGTCTGAATTTCCCACTAGAATATAAGTTCCATGAGGGTAAAGATTAGTCTTTTTTTGTTTATTGTTGTATATTTAGCACTTAGAAAAGATTTTACACATAGTTAGAGCTGAATAAACATTTGTTGAATGAGCGAATTCATTAAGTTAATATACATCTACTGAAAAATTCTTAGGAAATACAGAAAAGCATACAAAAGGAAAAACAATTATATGTAACTCACCATTGAAAAATAGCCAGCATTAATATTGACTTACATCCTTTCACAGTATACACATGAGAGGTATAAGTAGATATAAAATTGGAATCAGTCTATATATAGTTTTGTATCGTGTTTTCCTATGACATTTACAATCCTTGAAAAATATGATTTGGACCAGGTACTGTGGCTCGCCCTATAATCCCAGCACCTTGGGAGGCTGAGGCAGGCAGATCACTTGAGCCCAGATGTTCAAGCCTGGACAACATGGCAAAACCCTGTCTCTACAAAATAATACAAAAATTAGCCAGGCATGGTGTTGTGTGTCCATAGTCCCAGCTACCTGGGAGGCAGAACTGGGAGGACTGCATACGTCTGGGAGGTCTAGGTTATAGCGCGCCGAGATGGTACCACTGCCCTTCAGCTTGGGTGACAGGGTGAGACGCTGTCTCAAAATAAACAAACATGATTTGTAGTGGTGGCATAGTAGTCTGTCATATGGATGTAACAAAATGCATTCAACTACTCTCCTTGCCCTATACAATTTGTTTCTGTTTTCACTGTTAAGATAACATTATGATTTTTTTTTTGCATATTTGCAAAAAAAAAAAAAAACCCTTTGCATGAAGTTCTGATTATTTCATTTGGATAAATTGTAAAAGTAAAGTGGAATTTTTGGATTAAATATATGAAGATATTTAAAGTTCTGATAACATTGCCACATTATTTTAAGTCACCTAGTCCTCCAGTTTTTAAATGGTGTTTTAGGCAGAAGTATGTGTAATGGGTTCAGAGGCAAGGCTGTGATACATTTTGATCCTTGAACAATTTATTGGTTTAATATTAACTAAGTTGAAATGAAGGATTGTGTTAACTGTTACTTTACTAAGTTTGATATGCCCATTGGGGTATCATTGACTTCTTTTTCTTTCTTATTCTCCACGCTATTCCCAGGTATAGTCCTAGTAGCTATAAATCCCTATGAACAGCTGCCTATTTATGGAGAGGATATTATTAATGCATACAGTGGTCAGAACATGGGTGATATGGATCCACATATCTTTGCAGTAGCTGAAGAAGCTTACAAGCAAATGGCCAGGTTGGTAGAAGCTTTCATTGTTATTTTATGGCTGGTACTACATACGATAATTTCTTCTTTGCCAAGTCACAGATATTTTAAAGTGAATGGCAACCTTGTAAGTAGTAAATAACTAGCCTTGACAAGTTTGTCTCAGGTGGCTTGCATTATTGTTATTATTTTTAGCTCTGACATACACAGGTATTTATTAAACTCTGGGATCTCTCAGGAAAAAATACAGGGCAGAGAAAGGTCCCAGATGATACCACAGCATACAGATCATCCAGTGTGGGTACCACCTTGTCACTACACTTTAAATTTTTCATATTGATTGAGTGCTATCTAAATGTCAGATCCTTTGCTGAGTGTAAGGTAGGCAGGATCATAGGCAGCCAGGAGGTAGAGGGGTCTTAGGGTACATCAGTCATTGTGGTTGAAGAGCCTGGAGCTTTAAAGGAGACCTGAAGCTGATGACTTCCCTATGTCCACTTCTGACTGAGAAAGATTGACACCATTTGTGGTCTGGGCCTGTTTGGACCATTGCGTCAGGGTGTTCAAGTTGTTTCTTGCCATGACAATGTCAGCAATGTACCTCCAAGCGTCAAAGGCGTGAATAAACTGACAGACGCCAAATCATCTCCTTCTTATCCAGCTGAACAAAGAACTGCTCATCTTCATCAAATTCAAACATATACTCCCCAGAGGGTTTGTGTGTCTGCACAAACTCTGCATATGTTGACACATGGTCTGCTTAAGGGTTCCTGTGGGTATACAGTTCCAGGAGTGTGGAGGGATCCTTCTCACTTGTGAGATTATGAACCCAAGGTTCACGGTTCTGATGTTTGCAGCACTGTGAATGCCAAAGGCAGTCTTCCTCTGATGTTCTCAGAAGATCCAGTCTTTGGGTTCTAGATTGTGAAGGAGTTGATTGTCCTGAGTTGGTGAACCATAAAAAACTTTCTTTTCGTGGTGAAAATACACCTTTTGCCAGCATCCCAGGCTTATGGGTTCCCTTTCCCTGAGTGGGCCTAGCAACCCTGTTAGCTGCACCATAGCCTAGGAGCCAAGCCATAACACAAAGGAAAATCATCTTTTTCTATTTCATGGAACCATAGGCAAAAGCCTCTCAATTTTGTAAGATGCTGGCCAAGAGATTGCATGGGGGAACTAAATTAACATTTTCCTTTCCAGCCACAGCTGGATTATTATTAAATAATAACGTGGGCCAGGCACGATGGCTCACACCTGTGATCCCAGCACTTTGGAAGGCCAAGGTAGACAGATCACCTGAGTTCAGAAGCTAGAGACTAGTCTGGCCAACATGGAGAAACCCTGTCTCTACTAAAAATGCAAAATTAGCTGGGTGTGGTGGCCCGCACCTGTAATCTCAGCTACTTGGGAGGCTGAGGCAGGAGAACCGCTTGAACCCGGGAAGTGGAGGTTGCATTGAACCAAGATCATGCTACTGTACTCCAGCCTAGGCCATAGAGTGAGACTCAATCTCAAAAAAAAAAAAAAAAAAAAAAAATCTACGTTTATAAAGGGACATAGAGTTTTAAAAAACTGCCTTTGAAATGTTTTCATGATCCTGTGACTAGGAAAAGACAGATGCAGATGTTATGTTTTACAGACAAGGGTTAGTTTAGTGGTATTAAATGACCTGCCCAATGTCAGTCAACTAATAGACCAAAACTAAAAAAAATTTAAAAAGCTGTTTGTATCCTAGGGAACTAGACCTAAAGGAAAGTATGACATTTTTTCTTTCAAGATGGGGTCTCGCTATGTTGCCCAGAATGGACTTGAACTCCTGGGCTCAAGTGATCATCCTGCCTCAGCCTCCTGAGTAGTTAGTACTACAGGCATGCACTACCATGCCCAAGTGAAAGTATGAATTTTAATGTTAACATTATATGATAGGGCATCAGTTCTCCCAAACGGCATCTGCAAAATGCCTCTGATATTAACCATGGAACCCTAACATTTTGAGGGTGGAAAATGGAAGAAAAATGCTACTTTCAAGACTGGATTATTCTTAATATAATATATTATACTGTAAATATGTAGAAGAATAGTATATATTTAATTCATTTCTCCAGCCTACAAAGCAGAACACATTATAAATATAATATGGGAAATCCACAAGTAATTTATAAGGTGGAAAGAAAACTAATACTGCAGAGGTTTTCATTTTCTCCTCTCCAGCCAGGGAGAGTTTACATGATTGGTCCAGCGTGTGACAGAATTTTAGAATTATTTTGATGACAAAGCCGTAGAAATTATTATGCCCTTTTAATAATAATATAAATACTTCTGATAGCAGCTAACACTTACTATGTGCTCTGTGAAGGGCATTGTTTAATTGCTTTCCATTTGTTAACTAATTTTATTCTTATAGCAACTTTCTGAGTTTGGTATTATTATTATTTTTCATTTTACAAATGAGAAAAATGAACCACAGGAAAAGTTGTGTAACTTTTCTAAGGTCGCATAACTAGAAAGACCAATTTTCAAATTCAATTTGTCTGAGATAGAATATTAATATATTAAATATAAAATGAATAAACGTAGGTTAACACTACAAAATGTGTCATATTATGCCAGCTTCTGCTATAAAATAGTAATGAGTGTTCAAAGCTTAAGAAAAGTTATTTTTAAGCTTAAAATTGAGAAAAATTCCATCTATTGGTATGATTTTTTTCCCCTTTAGTTAGAAAAAGCTATAAATATTTGATTTCTATAGTGTCAGAGCATTGCAGTACAGTGTCAATACCACTTAGTAACAACCTGAGAACTACTGGGCAGAGAAAAAAATCACATGGCGTGCTAGACTCTAAAAATAATCTCTGAGAATTGTGTAGTGCTCAGAGAATTATATGACTTTTTGGAAAATACTATTCTTGAGTACAAAACATAGCTTTTACCATCTTTGTTACAGTCATTCACAGATGGTATTAGGTTTATACGATATTTATGGCTTTTTACCTTTAGATTTACCTTGGTTTCCTGTAATTTCCTCTTCTCATTATTATCTGTTGTGACCCAGTCACTCAAGGTGATTTCTTAACCGGAGGGTTGTTTTGTCTTTTTTCCCTTTTGCTTGGCTTTCTTTTTCAGACAGTTTTAAAATATGCCTCAGTTAGTTATAGTATTATATTTACCATTTATATAAATGAATCTATACCCATAACATCTGCCACAACAGTAAAATAGACCATATCTGTTGAGGCTTATAGTTGGGAATAACTGCTGCAGGATCATTTCTTACCATTGTTTTCTTGTCAAACGATGTCATCTTTACCAGATGCAAATCCTGATGTTTCACATTACCACCATTTCTAGGGACCCCTCATGTCTTCAGGGAAGGTACAATTCATTGTTTATCTAGTAGAGATGTATTGAACACTGTCCAAACACCAGGCACTGTTCTAGGCACGGGGGATACAACAGTGAACAAATTAAGTAGACAGGAATTCCTACCCCATGAGGTGAGGCATGATTGACAGTAAAACTATTAGCTGGGAATGGTGGCACGCACCTGTAGTTGGATCATTTAAGCCTAAGAGTTCAAGGTTACAGTGACCTATGATTGTGCTGCTTACTACACTCCAGCCTGGGCAACATAGTGAGACTGACGCTTCCTTTACAAGCAAAATACAAAAATTAGCTAGGCATAGTGGCATGCGCCTTTAGTCCCAGCTATTCAAGAGTCTGAGGTGGGAGGATCTGTTGAGCCCAGGAGTTGAAGGCTGCAGTGAGCCAAGATGACACCACTGCATTCCAGCCTGGGTGGCAGAGCAAGACCATATCTCCAAAAACAAAAAAAGCAAAGTTACAAAAAAATTAAAAGAACATACTGTGCTGGAGCAAAGGTAGAAGCCAGGAGACTAGTTAGGAATGTTATTGCCTCGATCCAAGCAAGAGATGATCATTTAGTTGAGAAAATTAGTGGAGATGGTAAAAAATAGATGGATTCTGGGTATATTTTTAAGACAGAACTGGCACAGGCTTGCTTATATGGGGTATTTGAGAAAAAGAGGAGTTAAGGATGGCAGTAAGCATTTTGGACTGAGCGCTTAGAAGGTTGGAGTTGCTGTTTACTGAGATACAGAAGATGGCAGGAAGAGCAGTTTGTAAGTGTTGTGGGATGGGGAGTAGGGGGAAGGGAGTGGAGTTCTAACATAGGTCTTTAAGGTTGAAAATATATTTTTGACATATATCCTAAAAGCAAAGCTGACACTAGGGATTCTTTCCAAGCAGATCTGTGTCCGGTGACATCAGCGATAACCAGGATCCTTGAGCAGGATCCTTGACTCATGGCCCCTTTCTAAACGCACTTCTTAGAGAGAACAATGCCCTCATAAAATACCTTCCTAGAATAGCGTTTTAGTTTTAATTGTCCTGTTGACTTACCATGGAGGAAAACTCAGTGGACTGCCATGCCTATTGTTTTCTCTTATTCTTATTTCATATTCTTGCCAATCTTTTCTCATGCTGGAACTGGGATTTTTGTTTTGTTTTGTTTGCTTAAAACCAGGTAGTGTTGATTGCTTTAATTTGCTATATTTTCTCTCCACTGTGAGTGATAGAGTAAATCAGTTTTATTAACTAAGTTTTGTTTATTTCAATTATTTGTTGGAAATAAGTTAGTTATATGCCGTTAACTTTGGTCTAGTGAAAAAGACATCTGTACTAGTCACATATCTATAATAACTAACCATATAAGCTTAAATCTCCTGGTCTCCCTGAGTCTCTGTTTTATCATCTATAAAATGGAACAGCGTCACCTATGGTCTAGCTTTACGTTTACAGGATTCTTTGGTATGCCTTTGTGATCATTATGTTTGATAGGAACTAATGCATAAACATTTTTCTTTTTGGTTGAGGGGAGACCATGGTAGGGAGCTGTGTAACAAAGCAGAAGCAGCATTGTGTAGACTTTCACCTGGAAATCAAGACATGTGGGATGTAACAACCCAGCTTTGCTCTGTGCCAGTCATCAGCCTTGGAAAAGCCGTGTAACCTCTTGGTGTTACCATTTCCTCCAAAGAGGAAATGACAATCTCTGTCCTGCTTACTTCAGAGGTGAAAATTATATTAGATGATATACACAAAAGCACTTTGAAAAATATTAAGTTCTATTCAAATATAAGCTGTTCTTATCCATAGTCATCATTATGAGGCCTTATGTCTACATTCTCTTTTCATTGACTTGAGCCTCTCATCTGGTTTTATTATTTCTGAGTTAATTTATTACCAGGCCCTTCCTTAGGGTGGCCCCTTCCATCATGTGGATATGTAGTCTCAGGGTGCTCCACTGTCCAGAGGTTCACTGGCCAAGTGCAAGCTGGCTATTACATATGACAAAATCTGTTCTGTTTCAGCTGAGACTCAGCTGCCCTGTGATGCTAAGTATCTTATTTGTGCAAATAGACTTTAAGTAATACATGATACCTGGTAAGGATAATTTTATATATGTTATATAAAGGTGAGTTAACTTATATTAATAAATAGCTACCATATTTAGAGGTCTACTCTGTACCAAACAGGGTGTCAGGCATGTAATCCTCATTACATCCCTGGAGCAGATCACCACTGCTTTACAGGTGAGGAAAGTAACTTGTCCAGGCCATATGCTAATAAATGGTATCTGAGAGCTGAGATTTGAATCCAACTTTGAGAGTCTAAAGCCTTTCTTGTTTGTCATTTAGTTTTCTTACTTTCAACTGCCTCGCCCTATTCTAACAGGTCTGTTCCCTCACATTAAGATAGCATAGTTCTATTTCTGCATCTTTTATTTAGCCTAGAATATCTTGCTCCATGCTTTTTTATCTGTTTATTTTATATTTATCCTTCATTATACCACTCAAGTTTTAATTTCGGACCACCCCAACTCACAGTAAATGATTCATCTTTAGATTTCTTCATTATATGAGTATCTTAGTCTGTTTTGTACTGGTATATCAGAATAGCAGACTGGGTAATTTATAATGAATAGAAATTTATTTGGCTCATCATTCTGGATGCAGGAAAGAGCAAGGTTGATGGGCTACATCGTGTTGAGGGCCTTCTTGCTACATCATCTTATGGTGGAAGGTGGAAGGGTAAGAGAGCATTTAAGAAAGAGGAAGGGGGCCAAGCTCATTCTTTCATCAGGACACCACTACTGCAATAACTAACCCACTTCCATTGTGATTATATTAATCCATCCTTGAGGGCAGAGCCCTCATGACCTAGTCAATTTTTTTTTTTTTTTTTTTTGGTAATACAGGGTCTCATTGTGTCACCCAGGCAAGGAGGCAAGGGTATAGTGGCACAGTCATGGTTGACTGCAGCCTCAACCTCCCGGGCTCAAGTGATCCTCCCACCTCAGCCTCCCAAGTACTTAGGACTACAGGCATGTTCAACGATGCCTGGCTAATTTTTTTCTTTTTTGTTGAGATGGGGTCTCACTATGTTGCCCAGGCTGGTCTCAAATTCCTCCGCTCAAGTGATCCTCCCACCTCAGCTTCGAAAAGTGCTGGGATTACAGGCGTGAGCTACCCTGCCTGGCCTAGTCACATTTTAAAGTCTCACCTTTCAGCGCCGTTGCATTGAGGATAAAGTTTGCAACATATGAACTTTGGGGAATACATTCAAACCATAACATTAAACAACTAGTTTGGGACTTACCAAATACTATCTATCCCAGAAGGTTGCAGTAGGAATAAAATACAGTACATATTAGAGCACCAAAATATGTAAAAGTTATAAACAAATATAATTGGCCATTTCTGTTATAGCATCTTTATATAATGTATGGGCTCTGTACTGATGGAACAGAAAACTCAGGTTGATTTTAGAGGATCTGATAGCCTTGTGACTGGCTTCTCACCAGGAACTGAATGATCTCAGCAGGTATCTCTAGGGAACACTTCTTATTTCCTGAGTAGTCTGTCTGCCTCTCTAAAGCACAGCGTTCAACAGTGCCAGCAACCTTTTTTTGTAGTAAATATTTATGCTTCAAAAATAAAACTAGGCCGGGCGCGGTGGCTCAAGCCTGTAATCCCAGCACTTTGGGAGGCCGAGGCGGGTGGATCACGAGGTCAAGAGATCAAGACCATCCTGGTCAACATGGTGAAACCCCGTCTCTACTAAAAATACAAAAAATTAGCTGGGCATGGTGGTGCGTGCCTGTAATCCCAGCAACTCAGGAGGCTGAGGCAGGAGAATTGCCTGAACCCAGGAGGCGGAGGTTGTGGTGAGCCGAGATCGTGCCATTGCACTCCAGCCTGGGTAACATGAGTGAAACTCCATCTCAAAAAAAAAAAAAAAAAAAAAAAAAAAAGAAAACTAAATATAATTATAAATTTATTCTGTAGTGTCAACCTTAGGGTTTCAGAATTTTCTTCTTGAGACTAAAAGTAGAAATCAGAGAGACATGGAGAGCAGAGCAGCTTGATTTTGATGAGTGATAATGTAGAAAAACTTAGCATCCCTCTAATGAGAGATTAAAGTCTCAATGAAGCCACATCTTTAAGATACCACAGTAAAAACACAGTTTTGAAAGAAAGCATTTTATTACACTAACTTATTATTTTCTCTTTTTAACAAGGGATCAGATAAAGAGAGAAACAATTAAATTGGTGGCCTGCAAAAAAAGTAAAACTGTAGATTTTGTTTCACATGACCATGTTTGCTTACAAGGTAAAAATTTAGACCTAGGTGCAGATGCATGTACAATTCATCAAGGTACATGACAACACTAAATGGGTGGTTATCAGAGAGTTAACATCAACATAGGTGGAGATATTAAATTGTGTTCTATATTACTCAGGTCTGAGGCAAGCATTACTTAATTTCCTTGTCAATGACATAGATATAATTGAAAGTATGTTTATGAAGTTTACAGAGGACAAGTTGATGATCTTGGAAGATATGAATAGTGTTTGGTATGACCATAATAAACTAGAGAGATTATATATTTTAAAGGGTAAAATTCACAAGGAAAATCTAGAAGATAATGCATTTCATACAAAGTAAAAACTTAGTAGATATAAGGAAAGACAGGACAGACCAAATAGATGTGAAGTCGCTGATGACCATAAGAGGACCATAGACTAAAGTTTAACACACATCCTTCTGCCTTCCCTCCCCCAACCCTTTCTCTGGCTCATTCTTGAATAATTGTTTCCTGGGGTTTCAGGTGCTTCTACATAATTTAACTCTCATTTCCTTATTGTCACAGAACTTGGTTTTCTCCTAATGATCATGAGTCAATTCTGATATTACCTTCTCTGGAAAACTTTCCTGATATCTCCTCCTCACATCTCCTACTGGTTCCATTCCCTTCCTTTCTACTTTCATGGTATCTTAGATAGAAGTTTTTATAGCAGTTACTTCCAGCTATATTTTAACTGTGTTCTTTCTGGTCTCTCTCAATTGACTGTGACCCTAGAGTCTTTTATTTCCATAAAGTGGTTAGCACATTGTGGCTGCTCGTTATGTGTTTGTTAAATGAATGAATGAAACAGTATTTTTAAGTGAGGGCTTTTAGTTTACATTAGAGCCTCTGGAAACAGGTCAGAAGAGCTCACCTCCACTCCAAAGCACCCAGTACCCAGCCTATTTAGAATTATTGTGAAGGCCCTTGAAAGGACTGGTCAAGCCAGAAGTCATAAATCTGTCATTACTCTATATTTTCCAGCCAAACTGAATGATCTGCTCTTTCCAAACTTCTGCTGATTCTGAGCCTTCATTTATGTTATTCCCTTTGCCTGGAATGTATCCTTCCCAAGTTCTCTATTCCTTGCTTGCTCTCTTATTCATTTTTGTAGACCTTGTTCAGCTGTCATCTTTGGGGAACCTTCCCTGATAACCTCTTCTTCCTCTTACTACCCCATCACATGTATTACAATCTTGAATTACTGGCCTAGCTTTCCTATTAGATAAGTGTCTTAGTCCAGTTTCTGGTGCTATAAAAGAATACCACAGACTGGGTGATTTATAAACAACAGAAATTTATTTGACTCACTGTTCTGGAGGCTGAAAAGTCCAAGAGCACAGTGCTGGCATCTGGTGAAGGTCATTCAGTAGTGGAAGGGCACATGAGCCTGTGAGGCAGAAAGGAAATCAGCTTAAACTCACCCTTTTATCCGGGGCCCACTCCCCTGATAACTAGTTCACCCCTATAGTGAGGCCATTAACTCATTCCTGAGGGGAGGGGCCTCTCGACCTAATCAGCTCCTAAAGGCCCAACCTCCCAATGTTATCATGTTGGCAGTTAAATTTCAACATGAATTTTGGAGAGGACATTCAAACCATAGCATCCGTCAACCACATGAGGATACAGATCATGACTTATTTAACTTGTATTTGAATGAAACCAAGCCAGCAAATGGATTATTTCTTCTCTGGTGATGAGGGTACTTTAGTAGGAGCTAGAGTTTGTAGGAGACACCATTTTATCGATTGCTAACTGGTAGACAATTTAATGTATTTTAAATGGTTTTATAACGTCAATTAAATAGTATAAATTTAAATTTCTTTGCTGTAGCTCCAGAGTATCTCCTGAGGTGGTTGACAACAGTACTGTAAGTTATTGAAGTAGTTCTTTTGGAATGAAGTAATATGTTTGAGATGTGTACACCTAAGAATTCAGAGGCCCTCTATTGAAGATTCATCTTTAGTTGTGATGCTCTCTAATGCTTGATATCTTCTTCCTGTTACTTTTTATTTTATAAGTAGATGTTATTTTTAGGAAATATCATTCTTATATTCATTTCCACATTGTTAAATGTATGAACCAGCAAAAGCTCACTGTGCCTTATCACAAAGAACAGAGAAGAAATAATGTTAATCACATTCCCAAGCGGGCAGCACGGCAGTTACTTTTTTTTATTATTATTATTTTACAGAGATGAACGAAATCAGTCTATCATTGTAAGCGGAGAGTCTGGGGCAGGGAAAACAGTGTCAGCTAAGTATGCCATGCGATACTTTGCAACTGTGAGTGGTTCTGCCAGTGAGGCCAATGTGGAAGAAAAGGTCTTGGCCTCCAACCCCATCATGGAGGTAAGACGGCAGAGTCCTCAGCTTTCTTCCTGTATTCTCTTGATAAGAAACATGTTCAAAAAATTAATGGATACAGCATATCTCAGAAAGCCTGGGGTCTCCCATCCGCTAACATTAAGAAAATACTTTTCTACATGTTAATAAAAAATCTAGGAAAAGTAAAAATTGGTAAGGTACACATTTTTAGTAAAGCCCAGCTATAGAGGAATCTGCTATAGTCCATAATCCTGAATTTTTAACCTACCAGCAAAATTGTTACCTCTAAATACCAGGCAGCAATTAAGTTTCCTTCCTCTCATTAATTGACTCATATCTTATTGTTCCTTTTCTTTTGCCAAAAGTACAAGTTACTTATTTCTCCCAAGTCCTGAGTTCTTATTTATGCTCCTTCTAAAACATAAGATTTGTTATGCTCAGGTATGAATGAGTTTAATTATTCTTTGCCCATATTTCATTTTCTGTACTTAGTCCAACCTAAGTTGGCTTAAATTTTAACATAGCTAAAGATTTAATTTTTTTTCCAGATTTGAACTATAAACTTAAACTATGATCTTTGTAAACTTTTGTTGTTGTTCTGTCAAGCACGTAACACAGCTATAGGTTCGTGAAAGACATTTAGTAACTGTAGGGTTTTGAAAGGGGAAGAACTATGAAAGAATGTGCTTTCAAACCTCGAATACACCGTATACAAAGCCAATTAAAATGGAACTAATTGTGAGAGAATTTGAGTATTTTAGGATTGGTAAATAGAGTATTCTTGGTCTTAATATGATTTTTGGAAAGTTATAGTTTTATATGAAGACTTATTAAATGGAGAAAAATAAATTTTGTTAAATAGAAATTAGTTTGGACATACAGAAACAAACCTTCCTTGTTAAAAATTCGAATCAGCATTTTTTTATCCCTGTCTTTTTTCTTTGTCAAGCCTTATTTGTCACCCAAACACAGATGGAGTTAAAATCGGCCTGGTGCACCTGTGGTACAAGTGGTTTTTGCAATAATCTATCTAGAGGTAAATGTGCTTGGTTTGCAGTGCTGCGTGTGACACTTCAGAACAGAATGCTGTGACCTCTTATCTGTAGGGCTGCCCTCTAGAGCAGCAGAACTTCTGTTTTTTGGGATCAATAAACAAGATATGATAGGGAAGTTCAGAGGCTTCCCAGGCAGGATGTGCTATGGAAAAAAAATACTGGGAATGCTTTCTGAAATAGGATGAACAGGATGAAACAAATGTTTGCACCAAAAGATAATAGTGAGAATTTTAAGCAAATGTTAAGATTTTTGAAAAAATGTAAGCTACAGATATAGTGCTGGATGTCACTAGTGTTAATGTTGGGGAAATAGAGTATGTGGAGCCAGTTTTTTGTTTGGGGTCAGAAAACAACAGGGCTTCTTTTCTTTCTCTTATTTCAACTGGTTTTGGTCATGACAACAAATTCTTCGTATTTGACAACAGTTGAAGCCATTCTAGTCCCTAACATTAGAATATCCCAAAGTCTTGAATGTGATGGCATTAGGTAATCCCATTTCTTCTGGGCCTGGACCATATACTACTAGGATTTGAAGTTGTCTTTGAGGATAACTTAAGTGTAGAATGAACCTTCTAGAATTTTTCAAAAGTTGAGTGAACTATTTTATGAGCTCTTTCAAACAAACCAGCCTCATTGTTTTGTTTGTTTGTTTGTTTTGTTTTTGAGACAGTGTCTTGCTCTTGTCGCCCAGGCTGGAGTGCAATGGCACAATCTTGGCTCACCGCAATCTCCGCATCTCAGATTCTAGTGATTCTCTTGCCTCAGCCTCCTAAGTAGCTGGGACGACAGGCACCTGCCACCACACCTGGCTCATTTTTGTATTTTTAGTAGAGATGGGGTTTCACCATGTTGGCCAGGCTGATATCCTGACCTCATGGTCTGCCCACCTTGGCCTCCCAAAGTGTTGGGATTACAGACGTGAGCCACCACGCCACTTCATTGATTTTTCTACAACACAGATTTGAATTGTATTAGTAGGAATTATATTAAAAATTTGGAATAGCTACTGTCTTAGTGCATTTAGTGTTGCTGCAACTGTAGCCTCAGAATATCGGAGGCTGGGTAATTTATAAAGAAAAGAGATTTATTTAGCTCATGGTTCTGTGGGCTCTGGCATCTGCTAGGCTTCTGGTGAAGGCTGGCATGCTGCATCATAACATGGCAGAGAATGTCACAGGGCAAGTCGACACATGTGAACAGGGGAAACCTGAGGGCCTCCAAACTTCATAAGAACCCACTCCAGTGGAAATGAATCCATTTCTGAGAGAACTAATTCAGTCTCACCAGAGGGAGAACTCACTACAGGAGAACTTCACCCAGGCTTTCAGTATAGATTTGCCCCCAAGACCAAAACACCTCCCACTAGACCCCACCTCCCAGCACCTCCATATTGGGGATCAAATTTCAACATAAGTTTTGGTGGGGACACATTATATCCAAACCACAGCAGTCAAAAATAATACTTAAAATATGCAATTCTAAAGAATATGCCCTGCTTGCTGGGATGGACATAAAAGATAAAGGGATCAGCTATGCTCACCTCCTTCCTTCTCTGTCTAAATAATTAAAAATTGTTTATAGGAATTTGGATTAGGAAATATTTGTTAAAGAGTTGAAGAACCAATTTTCAATTACTACAGAAAAGGGCATCTCAGTTTGAAAGATGGAAATGTAATATGGAGCTGAAGAATGGTGACACAGGGTTTACAGTTACTGGAAGAAAACATAGGTAAAATATTGAGTCTGTAGCCTGAAAAATGTGTAACTTTAAACTGCTTCAAGACTGTGTCCCTATATCAAAGCCCTTTGCTGTGGTGTCAGGAAAGGGATATCTGTGTCTCCGGTGATCTGCCGAAGCTTCTCATAGGATAATGAGCATCCTACATGGTTAGCATTACAATCCAGTGGCTAAAGAAATATGTACATTATTCTTTAAAAACAAAGCGCCTTGTTCTCAACATAGGCTTCTTTTGCAAAATGTGAATGATATACACAGAATAATTGTATTCACTCTATTTCATGATGTTTTCATTTTTTTCCTGGAAATTTTCACCATAAGATGGGAATAAGCACACTGAAACTTTTTTTTTTTTAAAAGACAGGATCTCGCTCTGTCTCCCAGGCCGATCTCAAATGAACTCCTGGGTTCAGGCAATCCTCCTGGCTCAGCCTCCCAAAGTGCTGGGATTACAGGTGAGAGCCACTGTGCCCAGCTTGGATCTTAATTTTTCTTTTCTTTTTTTTTTTTTTTTTTTTTTTTTTAATTTGAAACAGAGCATTGCTTTTGTTGCCCAGGCTGGAGCTCAGTAGGATGATCTCAGCTCACTGCAACCTCCACCTCCCAGGTTCAAGTGATTCTCCTGCTTCAGCCTCCTGAGTAGCTAGAATTACAGGCATGCACCTCCACGTCTAGCTACTGTAATATTTTTAGTAGAGTTGGGGTTTCACCATGTTGATCAGGCTGGTCTCAAACTCTTGACCTCAGGTGGCCTACCCGCCTCGGTCTCCCAAAGTGCTGGGATTACAGGCGTGAGCCATTGTGCCCAGCCAATTGTTCTTTTTTATCTTCAATAACCATAATTGAAGATTTTCATCTCCATTTAGTAAAGAAGAGTGACTCATGCATCATTACATTAAAATAGTAAAATCAAGATCACACAATTTCCTTTTTCCTCCAGTGACTTCTTGCTGACTAAAGTAAAAATAGTATTCGGGAGTCTCTGGTGAATGCGGTGCTTATATGGCAGAGGAAACAATTGAGGGAGTGATCGAAAGGTACTGTTTATGTATAGAAACTTCTTTCCCTATCAGGTTTCAGGACTTAGAATCAAATAATTTTATTTTTTTAAAAGAACCTATAGCTCATCTATCCTAGTCAATTTATACTTGAGAATACTAATGCTCCTCAAAGAGATTAAATAATGGCAAGTTGATAACAGGGCCTGGTCTAATAGTCAGGTCTTCTGACTTCTATTTCATTTGTTCTTTCTACCATTGTTTGTCTATGTTTAAATACATTTTACTTGAAGACAAAAGGAACTGCTTCAACTCTAGCATCCCTGCCTCTTCTCACAGTATGGTGGAGTTTCGGCAGGTGGGCCACTCTAATGCCCAGTATGAGTAGATGGGGAGAGATGACATATGGAAGGTGGGGTAAGAGTTGAGGAAGGAGGAGAAGTTGTGGCCCACCCTTCCTCCACTTGCCTAGTTACTGGCAGGAAAGTGCTTAGGACAGTAACCAATGCTTATTGAGTGCTTATTGAGTAGGTGCTGCTACTTCTACTACATGTAACCTTTCATCTGCTCTTTGGAAGAATATGTCACATTGAGAGAAAAGTCTGCATTTATAATTAATCTCCTTTTCCAAATAAAATAGTGGGACTGTATAAAGACTTTTTGCTGTGGTGTTTGGTAATATCAAGAGGGGTAACATCTGAGTAAATTAATAGATAAATTATCTCAGTCTACATTAGGTCCTTCTCTAATTTTGCCAGGAAGATATTCTTATTTTTCTAGAAAAGCATTTAAAATATTAATCTAAAATATAGCAGTGTCCTCACTGCCAAAACAAAATAGGATGATATCTACAGTCTATTTCAGAAAGTGAAAATATATTTTCTTTGATTGGTCAAAGAATATAATGTGTTGAGTTGTATGGCTGTGTTACTACTGTTTTCATCACTTACATTTGTATCACTCTTAAAACTACATTGTATTTTCACATCTTTCTGCTGTGGTTTTGATATACTTATCCTAACACAGGCTTTACACAAGTGAAAGATACAAATCTTTTATGAAATTTGCTTATTAAACATTTAATATATGCATTATGTAAACACTGGCTTTTCTAACTATACCTTTTTATTTATTTGCTTTGCCTTAAAAAAAATTTATGGAAGCAAGTTACCTAAATCAGAAAGACATATGTCATTAAAATTTTTAAAGTTATATAAAACATTTAGCAGCAAGTTATATTCTCTGCATTCTGTAGCAGAGATTTCGTAAGCTAGATATAACTATCAAAATCCAAAGCCAAATTTAACTTTTTCTGGTTTTGAAAATGGCCTTTGAATTGAGTGTATAATACCAATGCTCTGCTAATAAATAGCCCAATCTTGCCACAGGATAAGATGATAGATACATCAGGGTAAAGAGACCCTGAACACTAGAGCAGCATTTCCAGGAAATAGTAATTGGCCTTAACTATCTAATTTACGTAAAGCAGGTGAAGTTTTATAGGAAAAAATAAAAACCTAATGCTTACCTAACAAAGCCCATGCCTTGGCAGCTCCGGTTCCCATTTGTTCTCTTTTCTTTCCTTTTTTTTTTTTTTTTGAGACAGAATTTTGTACTGTCACCCAGGTTGGAGTGCAGTGGCACAATATCAGCTCACTGCAACCTCCGCCTCCTGGGTTCACACAATTCTCCTGCCTCAGCCTCTGGAGTAGCTGGGATTACAGGCAAACACCACCACACTCAACTAATTTTTTCCTATTTTTTAGTACAGATGGAGTTTCACTATGTTGGCCACACTGGTCTTGAACTCCTGACCTCGTGATCCACCCACTTTGGCCACCCAAAGTACTGGGATAACAGGTGTGAGTCACTGCACTCCGCCTGTTCTCTTTCATTGCTGGCATGAATTGCTATGTTCAGATAACCCAAATGGTGTATGAAAATGTTCTAACCTCTGGACTCAAGTCTGCTGTTTCTGAAAATCATTTTTTGTGAGAATAACAAGACAAATAAGAACTATCTGTGTGCTGTGCAGTAAGCAAAGCATACACATGTGCTTGCAAGGGCAAAAGTGGTTCTGTTCTTAAAAGAATCCGTTTTAAGGACCTGTGTTCTACTCTATCCTTTCTCTCCCTGAGCAGACTCTGTAAATGTCAGGTTATGAATTACAGTTCTGAAATCTTGTTTTCTCCCTTGCTTTTTAGTCCATTGGAAATGCTAAAACAACCAGGAATGATAATAGCAGCCGTTTTGGGAAGTATATTGAGATTGGTTTTGATAAGAGATATCGAATCATTGGTGCCAATATGAGAACTTATCTTTTAGAGAAATCCAGAGTGGTGTTCCAGGTAAGCCGACCATATACAGATATGTACTTGTGTTATGTTGCTGTATAATTGTAGAGCCCATGCTTGCTGGTAAGCATTTTATTTCTAGATACTCTTGAGCATATTATGACAATATTACCTCCAACTGCACTTGGACTGAAGCATGTAAAATGGTGCCTGTTAGGGGTAGGGGAGTACCACTCAAATGCTAATAGTCTTTGGGATTGGTCACTTTTAGGTTTTGACTTTTTCCTGCAGATGCTTGTGGGAAAGCTTAGTTGAGAACAGGTACTGTTAGTTTAGTCTTGTCTCTCATATTTCTAAATGATAGGAAAGGTGTTGTTCCATGCCTTCAGTAAGTTACAATTTGAACTCAGTTGAAGAAAAAAAATTATCCTCTTTCATTCCTTCCTTCTCCTTTCTTAGAATATATTATTGTTTAGATAGAATAGTGAAGGTTAAAAAAACTCTTCATAACACAATTGTGAACTACTATCAAAAAACACAGTTGATGCGTCTGTGTAGGGTTGACATTCACACATATGCTATTGGTCCTTTTTGATTGGAAAGTGGGAAATACTATATATTTACATCTCTAACAGGCTTTTCTAGTTTCTGTGTGTGAAACCACCTGATCTCTTATTTAATCCTGCTGTGGACATTGGTATATTGGTAATTTGTTCAGTGATTTCTGTCCCTGTAATAGGTTTTCTTTTCCTGACATCAGCCCCTGTTGGGCATCAAATCTGACCTTGGCCTTACTAATATGATTCATTAGCCAACTGAGTATACTGTCAAATTCAAGCATATAATGGTAGACTATTAGGATTTAGTTTTGTATGAATAATATTATTGCACCTGTATTTTTTAGATATATATGTGGAAAAGACTCTTAGGAAATACTGAAAAATTATCTTAGAATTTATACGTGATTTATTTTCTGTTTTATAAAAATTATTGATTTAAATTATATAAACTAAAATGACATAGAAGATGTACATTTGAGGGTTTCTGACAACCACAGTAGACGGTCCACTCTAAAATATGGCAATAATGGGATTATTCTCCATGAAGAGGTACCATTAGAAAATAGTATTGAGTATTACAAAAAATAATGGTTTTACTTTCCCCCAAAAGCACTGATTATCTTATGTTTGTGGACATGTATCAAGTTGTTCACTAGTTCAAAAAGAATTTTCAAAAAATCCAATGTTTTATGCTGAATTTGACCAACACATACTCAAACATATGCATATAGACTATAAATCATAAGGTTTAATAATCACAAATAAGTAATAGGAAATACTGGAAAGTATAATTTAACCAACTGATAATTAAATATTAAAATCTTATTTTATGATAGAATTTTCTGAGTTCTAGATTAAAAGCTGTAATTAAAAACTCTTCTTATTTCAAAGGCAGAAGAGGAGAGAAACTATCATATCTTCTATCAGCTTTGTGCCTCAGCAAAGTTACCTGAATTTAAAATGCTACGATTAGGTATGACTATGGCATTAAATTTATTTTTCTGGCATTGTTTTCTGTTAATTTCCAAGTTCCTAAATTTACTTATTAAAAAGGAGCTTATCCCATATGGAAATACCTATGGATAAAATGATAAAAAGTCAGCATTTACCTTCAAAATAACCCATGGGAGTGGAGAAGGAGTAAATGGCTGTATAAATGGAACAGGATTGGCCTGGAGGTGATTTTAGATGGGCGTTTAAGATGAGTAATGAGTACCTAGTGGCTGATTATAAGTCTCTTGACTTTTGTATATGTTTCATATTTGCCTTGATTAAAAGAAAAAAAATTTAAAGGAGTTGATTTGTTAGAGGCTAGTAGGGTTTCTTATGAGGGGAGTAAAGGATTTGAGGAAATTATTCTAGTGCGTAGATTGGAATAAAACCTTTAGGAAAGGACTATTTATTTTACCAGTTAACATAAATAAACTATAAATATTTTACTTCATTATTTAATTTTAAATTTTGTATTAAAATACGATTGAAAACACAGACAAAGTCTAGACCATGTACACTTAACTGTGCTATCACCACTCTGATTCAGAGTGGACAGAAGGGTAGAAGGCAAGGCTTTTTCATAAATCAGAAAACTTTCATTTTTCTTCATTACAGGAAATGCAAATGACTTTAATTACACAAAACAAGGAGGCAGTCCTATGATTGAAGGAGTGGATGATGCAAAGGAGATGGCACACACCAGGCAGGCCTGCACTTTGCTAGGTAATGCCACTTTATTCTCGAGCTTTTTTGAGGAATCGCTTTTTTACTCCAGCAACCTTTGTTTAGAATATTGGCTTGATTTTTTATTAAGTGATGAGTATTGCTGGAAGATTTAATATTCCGTATAGGACACATTTAAATGTCAAACAGGAGGTTTCTTTTTGGGGTGATGGAACTGTTGTAAAATTAGATTGTGGTAATGGTTGCGCAACTTTGTAAATTTACTAAAAATCATTGAATTGCACACTTAAAATGGGTGAATTTTATGGTATGCAAACTAGCCTTCAATACAACTGTTTAATATTTGGGGCATCAGGGGAGGACTACTTGTAATTCTTTGCTTAAATTTTTACAAAATTTGAAACCTGAAAGTAAATGGAATGGCCTCCTGTACAAGCTCACATTTGTTAGAGCTTTCTGTTTGTTTTGTTTTCGGGTTTTTTTTTTGGCTGGGAAATGTGGCTGAGTTGGCGTCATGACAGAATATTACATTATGTGTAGTTTATTCCAGCATTTTTTATTTTTCTGTTCCAACATCTCTGAAGCAGCTCAGATGTCACTCTGTCTTGTTTCTGGGATTTAAAAATTGTTGGGCCTACATGTGAATAAACTAACCTTTAAAACTGTCATCTACAACTTAAAGAAAAAAAAAAACCCTCAAAATATAAATACCTCTAACATGGTATGATGGCATGTTGAGTAGTACCCTCAGGTGAGTTAATTTAATGTGAAAGTGCTGCTAATTATAGTGTAGACCAGGACCACTGTGGGCCTTGCTAGAAATGCAGAATCCTGAATCCCTTCTCAGACCTACTGAAACATAATCTGCATTTTATCAAAAATCTATTGGTGATTCACATGCACATTTAAAGTTTGAAAAGCGCTGCATTTCTTCTAGGGCTAAATCTGTTTGTAAATACTAAATCGTGAATTTGAAAAAGCCATACAGAGGTTGCATTGGGCTGAGATCACGCCATTGCACTCCAGCCTGGGCAGCAGAGTGATTCTGTGCCTCAAAAAAAAAAAAAAAAATTAAAAATAAAAATAAAAAGCCATAATGCAGGAGATGCTAAAAAAAAAAAAAAAAAACACACACACACACATTCATTATAGGGTCAGTACTGAATTATCCTTTGTAAGATTACATACTTGGAAATAATTTCACTGCCTCTATTTGCATGTAATTATATCTAATTTTCTGGAGATTCTTATGTTATTTAAAAATGAAGCCAGATCTGATAGAAGCCAAACACTGTCCAGCTTTCTCATCCTGCCTTATCCTTATCCTTATCCTTCAATTTCTGCTCTGAAGCTGTATTTGGACACATACTCATCAGGCTGGGATATAGCACCAGCCTGAACACTTCTAATCTTGGTATCTCTTTGACTTACACTTGGTCTGTAAAGAAGTAATTAAATAATACTTCTTAAACAGCCTTAAGCAGTAACAGCTTTATTGGGCTATATTTGGAATAGAGATAAATAGAAATGATAATGTTAATTTTAAACCCAGTGTGTGACAATGATGACAATAATTTTTTTAGCACTTACTGTGTGTCACATCGTGTATTAAGTATGCTATGTGCATTATCTCATTTAATCTTCACATACTTTGAAGTAGTCACTATTATTTTCATATCTTAAATGAGAGAATGGAAGCATAGAAGACTGAGTTACCTGTCCATTTGTGATGATAGGTCCATAGCAGAGCCAGGTCTCAAGCCCATATCAGCCACAGCCAACAGCCATGCTATCCATCCATCATGCTAAACTGCCTAATGTGTTAATGTCAACAAAGATGAAAGTGTTGTTAGCTATGACACATTATAATGTGTACAACATCTGGCAATGTTCAGAAATTAACAATAGGTTTAAAATTGTCTGCTGTAGTTGTTTAGTTGCTGTTCTGAAATTAACCACTTGTTTATTCACTCTTTTGTTTCAGGAATTAGTGAATCTTATCAAATGGGAATTTTCCGAATACTTGCTGGCATCCTTCACTTAGGCAATGTTGGATTTACATCCCGAGATGCAGACAGCTGCACAATACCTGTAAGTTCAGAATAAGCTTAGTGGGATGGCAGTTGAATTGTGTTTTAGATTTGTAGATTGTTTAAAGAAGCAGGATAGTTTAAATCTCTCTATCAATATTATCAGAAATGTAATTATCAAAGAGATATATTATCCAAAGGAGAATCTCGAACTGAGAATAAAGAAATATGGATTCTAATCCCCAGTGCATAGCAATTGTGTGTGTGTGTGTATGTGTTTGTGTGTGAGACAGAGAGAGAAAAAGAGAGAAGGATAGATAGATGAAATTAATGACTGTGATGCAGATGACCCCACAAGATCAGAGACTCACGGAAGTTAGAGCTATTAGGGATCATATCATGTCCTTGCTTAAATCTTTCAGGACTCCCCACTGCCTTCAAAAGGAGATCCAATACCTTATGTGGTATGACATGACATGAAAGGGCCTTCATGTCTGACTCCTGGCTTCCTACTGAGCTTCTCTCTCACTGCTTCTCATACTCCACATCCAGCCATTTCCATACCAGACAGTCTCTCTCTCCTGGCTTTGCTCAGATTCTCTCTGCTGGGGTACGTTGAATGCTTTTCTTCCCTAGCCAGCTCTTACTCACTTCTCACAGGCAGATCTGTAGCATCTCTTCTTAGAATCATATTCCCCCTTCTGCTTTCTTTCATTGTAGCTCAAATCACATTGTTCTATATAGGTCTCTCTTGCTTGCCTTTAACCACTAGGATTTGAGGTTTTTGAGGCTATTCATTTTGGTGTTCTTAATTAAGGCCTTAATTTAAATGGCATTTATTCCACTTACTTGGTTGCCTTTTTTCTCTGGATCTATAGCCTCTTGTGTAAAAACAGATTCTCTACTCCTATAAGAAAAGAATGTATGTCCTGTCTTTTCTGGGTATAGTACTTTCATACTATATTCGATGTGTGAGACATGATATAATATAAAATAAATGACTTTATGATTTGCAGAGAAAACTTGTTCTATAACTTTTTTTCTTTTCTTTTTCTTTCTTTCTTTTTTTTTTGGAGATGAAGTTTCACTCTTATTTCCCAGGCTGGAGTGCAAAGGCACTATCTTGGCTCGCTGCAACCTCTGCCTCCCAGGTTCAGGCGATTATCCTACATCAGCCTCCTGAGTAGCTAGGACTGGAGGTACACACCACCATGCCCAGTTAATTTTCTATTTTTAGTAGTAATTTTGTATTTTAGTTTTGCCATGTTGGCCAGGTTGGTATTGAACTCCTGACCTCAGGTGATCCACCCACCTCAGCCTCCCAAATTGCTGGCATTACAAGTGTGAACCACTGTGCCTGGCCCTGTAACTTATTTTTAGTCCAAGGGCCAAAAGAAGCTAGATGGGCAGAGAGTTTAGTTTACAGAAAGCTTGATTCTCATGATTTTCTTTATGAATATTTGAGGTATAATTTTTCTGAGCCATGGGTCCAAATTCCCTCTCTCTTCCTCCAGCCTCTTTTCCTAATGGTGGTTTTGTGAAAGGCAAAATGATGATTCTGATTTAAAACCTGATTTCTTCTAATGAAACATTGCTAGTCTTTTAAAAAACAGCTTTGTTGAGATATAAGTCACATATCATGCTCATTTAAAGTGTACCATTAAATGGCTTTTAGTATATTCACAGATATGTGTAACCATCATCACAGTCAGTTTAAAATATTTCCATGACCTCAAAAAGAAACCCAGTGCCCTTTACTTATTGTTACCTATACATCGATTCCCCTAGCCCTAAGCAATCATAAATCTGTTTTCTGCCTCTATAGATTTCCTGTTCTGGACATTTTACATAAATGGAATCAGATAACATATGATCTTTTGTGACTGGCTTGTTTCAAAATCCACCCATGTTGTAGCATGTATCAATACTTTATTCTTTTTTATGGCTGAGTAATAGTCCATCATATGGAGATAACACATTTTGTTTATCCATTGGTTGATTGGTGGATATTTGAGTTGTTTTACCTTTTGCCCATTATGAATAACACTACTCTGAATATTGGTATACAAACTGGATTTTTAAAAAATAACTCATTGATTTCTGCATCACCCTCTTTGCCCTTGTGATCTTTCCCCAAATGTCAAGCTTCTCCTAATCAAGAAAGTCATGACTAATGTTTTATCACATATATCACTTTGCTATGAGTCTTCCCTAAAATATCAGTGTACTGTTTTCATATTTGAGATATCTAGAAGTTATTAATATTGTCTTGGAGGAATAGTACTTATAATATGTGGAACTTGTCCCAAAGTTACTTCCATTCAGTTCTTGTAATTCTGTGATGTTTGTTTTCTAACCATTGCTGTCAACTTTGTTGATTTGCTGATAGCTGTAAATACTACAGTTTCACTATTTGAGGTGGGTAGAAATTCAATGAGTTTTTTTTTTTTTTTTGGAGACAGAGTCTGTCGTCGTTCTGTCGCCCGGTCTGGAGTACAGCCTCAGCCTCCTGAGAAGCTGGGATTACAGGCGTGCCCCACTGTGTCCAGCTAATTTTTGTATTTTTAGTAGAGATGGGGTTTCACCATGTTGGCCAGGCTGATCTCGAACTCCTGACCTCAGGTGATCTGCCCGCCTCAGCCTCCCAAAGTACTGGGATTATAGGCGTGAGCCACTGCGCCTGGCCTTAAATGAGCTTTAAAAGTTACTGGTAAGACATCTCTATTTGATAGTTTTGCCCCACCTTGAAGGCATTTGCTGAACCCAATGACCTTGAGCTTTGGGTTTCGTAGCCAAGTGATGTACAGAAGACGAAGACAAAGTACAGGACTCATATAAACAGGGAAACACAAAGTCTCCTGCCTAAAGCTGCTGAGACCCTAAGTGGGAAACCAGTAGTAATTTGCCAACCACCCACTCCAAGAGTATAAAGAAAACCTGACCCACACTTTGGTGCCAAGTAGATGCAGAAAACTAGGTCCCTAAAAATTTGTAACAACAAACTCACTGTCACACATATTCATTCCCAGCCTGATTTCATAGTTCTTGGTAGGTCTCAAAAACTACATACCGAAAGTATAGCTTAAATTGATCCTGGGCTGGTAGTGCCCTAGGCATCTGAGAGAAGAAATTGGAAATCTACTTTGGAGGACCCATCTTCAGTCTAGGCCTCAGTGGAGTCCCATGGGAAAAGTTACAAGAAATATTGACTCACAGTCAAAAATCACAAGTCCCACAATAAAACAAAATAGCAGGAGCTAGGAGAAACAACAGATAGCAGAGTCATACCTGCTAAGAATGCCAAAATAAATTAACAGGAGATTTGGCACAACTGAAGAGAAAACTGATAAGCTAGAAGATAGATGTGAAGAAATTGTCCAAAATGCAAGATAGGAACCAAAGACAGAGCACTTGAAACAGTAGTTAAGAGAGAAGAAGGACAGAGTAATAATGTCTAATGTTAATCTAATGAAAATTGGTAAAGGAGAGAAGAGAGAGAATAAAGCAAACATAATATTCCAAGAGATCATTACTAAGAAATTTTAGAACTTGTGAAAATGACTAACCCACAGATTCAGAAAGTCCAGAAAATCCCAATTAGCATAAATAAAAAGAAATCTACCCCTAAGCATATCATAATGATATCAAAGACAAAGGAAACTTAAAACAGAGATTAAGAGATTACTCTTGAAGAAATAGCAATTAATCTGATAGCTCACTTCCCTACTGCAGCTATAAAAGCCAGAACATAGTGGAATGGTATCTTCTGTGTCCTTAGAAACTATTAACTTAGAATCATATAACCAGTTCAAATATCTTCCTAGAATGAATTAAAATTGGAAGCATTTTCAGACAATTAAAAACTTATGAGAGGCCAGGCATGGTAGCTCACACTTGTAGTCCCAGCACTTTGGGAGGCTGAGATAGGTAGATCACCTGAGGCCAAGAGTTTGCGACTAGCCTGGCCAACATGGCAAAACCCTCTTCCAACTAAAAATACAAAAATTAGCTGGGTGTCGTGGTGTGTGCCTATAACCCCAGCTACTTGAGAGGCTGAGGCATGAGAATTGCTTGAACCTGGATGGCGGAGGTTACAGTGAGCTGAGATGGCACCACTGCACTCCAGCCTGGACGATACAGCCAGATGGTCTCAAAAGAAACATGCTTATGAGAGTCTGTGTTGTCAGTAAGCCCTCACTAAAGGAAACATTAAATATTAAAGGATACAGTTTAGGCAGAAAGAAAGTGATCCCAGTTAGAAGATCTAAGATGCAAGAAGAAATGAACTAAGAAGTTAGTAAAATGTGGGCAAATGTAGATAAAATTTGATTAAAATAATAATGAATAGTATATTGAGCTGGTAAAAGATGGAATTCCCCACAAGACATGTATTAATTACAAAGGGGAAGATAGTTATTATTACAGTCAAGAAACCTGGCAGACATTCCCTTAACCAAGTGATCACAATTGATATTACCATATTTGTACCAATCTGACACACAGAAGAATGCAACACAACTTCTCTGGTATTTCTGCCCAAATCTAAACATAAAGTAACATCATACAGACCCAAATTAAGGGACTCTTCAAAAAGTCAGTGTCACACCATAAAAATTAATTATTTTTTGTAGAAAGCACTGTTAGGCCAACTGGCAAAAATTGAAGTGATCTGTAGGTTACATAATAGGATTGTATCATTGCTAATTTTCCCATTTTTTTCATTATACTGCACTTATATAAGGTAATGTCCGTGGTTTTTAGGAAACACACACTGAAATATTTAGATAAAAAGGGCATTGTGTTTGCAATTTACTCTCAAAAGGGTCTGAAGAAGTAATGTGTATAAAAGAGTGAAAGAGTGATAAAAGGGAATGTGGTAAAATGTTAATATTTAGGGAATCTGAGTGAAGAGCATTTTTTGTACTATTCGAATGCAACTTTTCTGTTAGTCTAAAATTGGATAAAAAGTTTAAAAAAGAAAATGAATACCCAGCCCGCCACTCTGCCCCCACACACAAAAGGTATAACTAAAGTATTGGATAACAGAGGATAAATTGGGATGGGGTGTTTGGAGTTAGTGTTATTTAATTACTTTAAGTTAATCATGTAACCGAATATTAACAAAGTAAACTTTTGAAACCAATCTAGAGGAAAACGGATTGAAAAAAAATCAAAATATAGCAAGAAAGAGAGAGGAAAAAGAAATGTTGAAAAGCAGGACAACTAAAAGAACAAAGTAAAATGGAAATAATTAAAAATGGACTAAATGCTGCAGCTAAAAGAGTTAGTTAGACTGGTTTAAAAAAATTCAGATATAACCGTGGGATACTACACAGTCATAAAAAAGAATGAAATCATGCCCTTTGCAGCAACATAGATGCAGCTGGAAAATATTAGCCTAAGTAAACTAACACAAAAACAGAAAACCAAATACTACATATTCTCACTTATAAGTGGGAGCTAAACATTGGATGCACATGGTCATAAATGGGAACAATAGACATGGGGGCGATACAAAAGACAGCAGTGATTGAAAAAACTACCGACTGGTGACTGTGGTCACTACTCAGTTGATGGATTCATTCACACTCCAAACCTCAGCATCACACAATATACTTTATTACAAACCTGCATGCATACCCCCTGATTCTAAAATAAAAGTCGAAAAAAGAAAAAAAATTTTCAGGTATATACTTTTAAAAGAAGCATTCCTAAAATAATAGAAGTATAGAAAGTTCGAAAAAAAAATGTTTAAAAAAGACATACTAGCTAGAACAAAACTGGCAGAACTATGCAGGTATCAAACAAAATAGACTCTGAAGCCAGAAGCAGTGCTAGAGGGAAATAGAGTGACTTTGCAATGATAAAGATTTTATTCACTATGCATGGTATATGCCTGTAATCCTAGCAGACTGAGGCAGAAGGATCTCTTGAGTCCAACAGTTTAAGGCTACAGTGAGATACGATTGTACCACCACACTCTAACCTGGGCAACAGAATGAAATCTTATCTCTAAAAAGAACAGATTTTATTCACCAGGAATATATAATAGTCTTAACTTCTTTTTTTTTTTTTTTTTTTTAAGATGGGGTTTTACCATGTTGGTCAGGCTGGTCTTGAGCTCCTGCCTTGGCCTCCAAAGTGCTTGGATTACAGGCGTGAGCCACCACGCCCAGCAATAGCCTTAACTTCTATGTACTTAATGATATAGTCTCAAAAGATATAAAGGAAAAATCAACAGAAACCATAAGAGGAGACAAATTTGCTATCAGAGTGGGAGATTATTATTGACTTTTCTCAATTACTGATAGGTGAAGAAGTCCAAAAATAAGTAAAGCTGTGGACAATTTAAACCAAACAGTTAACAATCTTGATGTAATATGACAATATGGTAACAATATTCAAGTAGAATATGTTTAGAGTGTTGACCCAACTTTTTTCTTTCTTTCTTTCTTTTTTTTTTTTTTTTTTAAATAGAGATGGAGTCTTGCTCTGTCACCCAGGCTGGAATGCAGTGGCACTGTCTCAGCTCACTGCAACCTCCACCTCCTGGGTTCAAGTGATTCTCCTGCCTCATCCTCCCAAGTAGTTGAATAGAGAAGGGTTTTCACCATGTTGGCCAGGCTAGTCTCAAACTCCTGACCTCAGGTGATTGGCCTTCCTCAGTCTCCCAAAGTGCTAGGATTATAGGCATGAGCCACCACACCCAGCCTGACCCACTTTTAAATGATGTCAAATCATATATATATGGCTGCTTATTTAAGGGATTTGAGCAGGCAGTGGTGTTGATTTGTATCTAAAGTGATTACTTGGGAGGAAGGGGGATGAAAGAAGGAAGGGCTGCTTGACTGTGAAGAGTCTGGAGATGAGGGTGTCAGGATACCCAAGTTCTAATACCAACTCTGACATCAATTGCCAGCTGATTTTTGACAAGCTATGTGTTCTCTTGGATCCTATTTCCTCATTTATCCACCAGAGACGATGTTCACCCTGCCTTTTCCCCAGGAATGTTGTCAGATTCGGCTGATACATGTGATTGAAGATGTTGAAAAATATAATTGATTAACATGGATTAAATTAAACAAGTATTTATCAACAATCTACTCATGCAAGGCTCATGGAAGATATTCTAGGGGGTACCAGGGATATGTAAGTCATGTAAGTGCTTCTAATCTAAAAAGTCACACAAATAACTATCAAGTTACCTCCTTGCAACCCTTCAGTGGCCTCCCATTGCTCTAAGGATAAAGACCAGCTAGGATATAGGCTCTGTCTGTTCCTGTGGCTTCAACTCACATTTTCTCCCTCATTCAGCTTCAATCCTTCCCACCACAGAATGCTTTTGCCAGCTGTTTCCTTGGCTTGGAAAATCTTTTTTCCCCCTTTCACCTGGTTAGCACCTTCCTTTTCTCAAGGCAACTGTCTCCTGCTTCCTAAATAGAGCATGTTCCTCTCACATGGACTCAGCATAGTCTCCTTGGTCTTTGTGTTATTTTGCATTTTAGGGAGCAATCATTTGATTAATATCCATTTCCCCAAGTGACTATAAGCTCTAGGAAGGCAGGGACCATGTTTGTGTTTGTTTTCTGGCACATAGTAGGCACTCAGTAAATAATTGTTGACTAGCTGACTGATTTTTTGATTGAGTGAATGAAAGTGCTTTAAGAGAGATACAAGCAAATACTATGCAGAGTGAAAGGAAGAGGTAATTTTTGAAGTGAGCCCCAGAAGAGACTGCAAAATGCTGCCTTGATGCCAGTTTAATGGATGAATGTGATTATTATCACTAACAGCTTTGAATGATCTTGGTGTTTGTTATAACAAAGAAATTGCTGAATTTTGTTAGCTCTTTGTTAACGTTTTCCAGGAAATTCTTATTTGATTTATCTGATCATAGGAAATAACCCATTCTTTTTGGCAGCCCAAGCATGAACCTCTCTGCATCTTTTGCGATCTCATGGGTGTGGACTATGAAGAGATGTGTCACTGGCTCTGCCATCGGAAACTGGCTACTGCCACAGAGACATACATCAAGCCCATCTCCAAGCTGCAGGCCACAAATGCTCGTGATGCTTTGGCCAAGCACATCTATGCCAAGCTCTTTAACTGGATTGTAGATCATGTCAATCAGGCTCTCCATTCTGCTGTCAAACAGCACTCTTTTATTGGTGTGCTGGACATTTACGGGTGAGTATATTTGGCTAACTGGTCTGCCAGAGAGCATTTCTTTCTAGAATCTATCAGGTAACTCTAAGTGGGCATTTGATTCTGTTTCCTACGGGTAAAAAGAAGGGAAACTTTGCCTACGACGATTCAAGAATACCTTGATGATAGTGATACAATTGCATGTTGCTTAAAATTTAAAACAAAAAAAAAAAATAGTTCAAATCTGGAGCTAATTTACTTAGCTAATGTATAGAATTAGCTGGTTTTCAGACTCTCACGTGGTAAATTATCACTGAAATTCTAAAAATTTAATTTGATTTGCTAGTTTGCTTTCTTTGGGTACCTGTCTTTAGCTGTTAAAATCCTTCCTTCATATTTATGCTTATTTCATACTTAATTTTTCATTCTCTGGTTCTCTTTTTCAAAAGAACCTGTAGGATCTCTGTTCCTATTTCCCTCCTATGTGTGTGTAACACTGAGTCAGTAAATTGACAAAAGCAATGATCTTTATCATAATTCTGATGTTCCCCACTTGGGGATGAATGAGCCCTCAAAAACTCATAGTGTTGAACACCTCTGCATGCTGGGGCCTTTAAAAAAAAAATGTCTCTGCTGCTTGGCTGATGCTCATCTGCTAGGTACATATTCCATGCTACTGACTTACAAATCTTTGTCTTCACTGATATGGAAAGAAAGTTTTACAATGTTGGGGAATGTCTCATTTCTTTCTTCCTAATGTGTATATTTTGAATATTTTAAAAAAGTTTTTTGTTTCTTTTCCCTCATTTCCATATTATTTTTGTGATTACAGATTTGAAACATTTGAGGTAAATAGTTTTGAACAGTTTTGCATAAATTATGCAAATGAAAAACTACAGCAACAATTCAATATGGTAAGAATGTTCTTCCTTGAATAATATTCTGCTGTAAGTTATTCTCTTGAATTCTTAGTCTTTGTTTAAAAGCTTGTCCCTGAAATGAAGTTGTGGATTATAATTATTATATGGAATTTAGAACTGATGATTAGTGAATGGTACCACATTAGAAAAATGTTTTATGGCCAGGTGGGATTCAAGTTTATCCTTTGATTGCTGTCTGATAGTAACGAAAATTTAGGACATACAGATTGAGAGAAGCAGGCAGTCTATTAGGTAATCGCTTGTGAGTATGAAGCTTTGAGCCCAGGGATATCCTTCAGTTTGTTGTTCCAAAACTAATTGTATGTGGAATTATGACACTTATTTGCTATATTAGCAAGATGTCAAAACTAAAAAGCAGAAACTTATGTGTTCTTTTTTCAACAGCCTGGGGCATTCACTGAGACAATGGCAATGGGAATATTTTGAGTGGTTCTTGTGAAGTAGTAATATCAAATGTCTTAGAGGAGTATCGTGCTGTTGGGAGATTCAGAGATGCTTAAAAATCAGGGGCAGCAGATTGTAATAGTAAAGGGCACAGACCCCAGAGGTGAACTGTGTGGGTTGGAATCCCACCCTGTGTCAGTTATCCAGGAGACCTTGGGCAAGTTAGTTGACATCCCTGGGCCTCAGCTTCCTCATCTGTAAAATGGTGATAAGAATAGTACCTATTGTGTATGGTTTTATAGGTTAAATGAGTTGGAATATGTAAAGTGTCCATCATGTGCCAGGCATAGTTCTAAGTACAAGAGTGGGAGTGATTCTTAGTGTTGATGAAAGAGGATATTCAATGAGTCACCCATATGAATTAGAAAATAGAGCTGAAGGGTAGGAAAGGCATCCTTAGTAAGTCCTTATCTTATAAAGAGAGAGGTCAAGTAGTATGGACTATAGCTGATGCACAAAAAATAGATGTTTAAAGACTTTGCAAGTTAAAAATTTAGTAAAAACCAAAAGAGGATCTAAAAATAGTAATATAGGGAGAGTAGTGGAAGAGTGGGAAGGAGGTGGTATATGTGAATTTAGCTTCGTTTGTGTTATAACCAAATCAGTAGATGTTTCATATTGATAAATCAAAAGGTAGCTGATAAGCATATTCCTTAGAAATATGTAGGTAAATATCAGAAGAAATAGCTAAGGGAATTAAAAATGGTTGCCTCCAGGGAATGAGACTGGAGTTGGGGGAAGATGGGACAAGGAGCTGCTGCTTGTCTTTATTTAGACTGTTTGAATAAATATTTCATATACTTTGATAAAAACTTGAGCCATCTTTGTTTAACAGATTAAACTCTGTACCACAGTGAAATAATGTAGAAGTGATCTTAACACCTTAGGCTTATGACTATTTCCATAATAAGATGACCACTAATATATTTTGCGTCTCTGCGTAAGAAGCATTAATAAAAACCTATCAGAAACTAAACTGAGCATTATCATTTCTCAAGGTGTTTCTGAGTTTCTTAATTACTTTAGTCAATACCACAGCCTTCTACTGTTTCCCATTGTGTTTCGGCACAGAGTGATGGGAATGTAGAAAAGCAATACCACCCTCTTTTTTTTTTTTTTTTTTTTTTGAGACGGAGTTTCTCTCATGTTACCCAGGCTGGAGTGCAATGGCGCGATCTCGGCTCACCGCAACCTCCACCTCCTGGGTTCAGGCAATTCTCCTGCCTCAGCCTCCCGAGTAGCTGGGATTACAGGCACGCACCACCATGCCCAGCTAATTTTTTGTAGTTTTAGTAGAGACGGTGTTTCACCATGTTGACCAGGATGGTCTCAATCTCTTGACCTCGTGATCCACCCGCCTCGGCCTCCCAAAGTGCTGGGATTACAGGCTTGAGCCACCGCGCCCGGCTAATACCACCCTCTTTAGGAACTGACTTGTTTGTCTGTTTTTCAGGGGCCTCCTGTCTGCACGTGTGTTCCGGTCTCTTGTTTCTCCTCTTTCCTGCTTTCTGTCTCTCTCCACCTGTTTCTCCTCTCTTCACACATCCTTCCACATTTCTGCATCTTCACTTCTCTCTGCACAACTGCTCCACCCCCTCTTCCTATCAGATGGCAGGTTCTTTCCTTCTAGTCTGTATACATCTTGTCCACCTCAAGCTTTCTCCTTCCTTACTCACTTTTTCTTTTGAGACAGAGTTTCGCTCTTGTTGCCCAGGCTGGAGTGCAATGGCGCAATCGTGGCTCACTGCAACCTCCACCTCCAGGGTTCAAGTGATTCTCCTGTCTCATGAGCAGCTAGGATTACAGTCATGCACCACCACGCCCAGCTAATTTTGTATTTTTAGTAGAGATGGGGTTTCTCCATGTTGGTCAGGCTGGCCTCGAACTCCTGACCTCAGGTCAACTGCCTGCCTTGGCCTCCCAAAATGCTGGAATTACAGGCATGAGCCATCGTGCCTGGCCTCCTCACTCACGTTATTTTTTATTTATTTTTGATATGTAAATAAAGTCCTTTATTTAATTTTATACACATTATCTAAAGCATGATTTTATTTTTCTTGATGGAATTCATCTTTCAAGGTCAAAATTAGTATGTTTACACATGAGAGCATTTTTAAAATGTTGTTACTACCTGCAAATACATTCTTCCGTAATAATGCACTTTCAGTTTTCATTGGAAAGATAGCACAAGGCTTTTAAAAGTCCTTTGAATTAAGTTTATAAAGGGAGGAGAACACAAGTATGGTTAATCCCTCCCAATTCCCACTTCCAACAAAGTCTCAAGAAATCCTCCTGCTTCAAAACATAAAGACAATCTCACAGGATTTTTATTTGATCATAATGTCAACAAGAAAACTGTATTCCTGTTATTTTTGATACTAACAGTTTTACTGAATTTGTTTTCACTTTCCGTCAAAAAACACATAGCATATGTTGATATGGATTCTCAAACCCATTTAGATCCAGTAGGGTCATTAGAATAATACAGCCTTCTGATTTTAAAAGCAACTGATTGCTTGTAAAAAATGATACGTATCTGACATTTCATCAGAAAAAGAAAAATGAGAACATGCCTTTCAAGTTTGATATCATTTAACTTACAAGATGGTGTGAAAATAGGTTGGTTATAATTTTAAAAAACTAAAACCTACTTCAACTAATGAAAAAATCACACTGAAGAATCAAATATCTTCCAACTTAGCTAGTATTACTGTCCAAATAAATGTCTTCCATTGCCCTGCACATTAGAATTAGAAATTCACTATATATTAAGGCATATTTTAATTAATATGTTCCATAATTGCACAGTTATATTGGTCAGTATTCCTATTTCCTCACTTCTGCCCTCATCCCACCCCTTTCTTCTAGGGCTCAAAGTATTAAGTCATGGTTTTGGTGGCTATTGTAGATTTGAGCTGGCATAACAGTGTGTTCACTAGGTTTTATGAATATAAACATTAAAATGTTACATAAAATGTACCATAATTTACTTCACACGCCAATCTAAGATGGTTTAATATCTTGACAAAAGGTGAGATGATTTAAGTACATTTTACATTTTGGGCATTTAGACCACCATATGCATAGATGTTCTGATGCTGAATTCTTGGTCTTCGGTATCTCATAGTGCTGGATGCTCTGAAGTATGACAGAAACTTGTAACGCAGGCGAACCACATAATACCAGATGTTTCTTGCAACTTGTGATCTTACAATAAAAATGCACCACATGAGGATCACAAGGATAATATTTAAACCCTAACATATATTCCGCAACTTGTTCAGATGTTTTCTGGCTGCAGGGAGGCCAGACATTTCTTCATTCAACACGTACTTCTTAGTTCCCATGCAGTAGTTCTCTATATATTCTGCCCAATGTAACTGTCGTACGTCAATATTGAAGGTCTTTTTATCTTCAGGGTTTAATTGATTAATTAATATATTGACATTGTCAGTATTCCAAACCCAAGAATTACTTGTGAAATATTCAAGAAACATCATAGCTTTGTGAAGACACGTAATTGCTTTCATCATCCTTGGGCTTCTTCCAGTCATCCTGAGGTAGACATCATACAGGAATGCTGGGGCCTCATGGCTTACAGCAATCCAGTAATGATATAAAAGGTAATTGGAGGTTAGATTTACGTTGGGCCATCTGAAGGCCTGTTCAAGAGGATTCCTCTTGAAAGTGGAAATTACATGGTATTCAACTTCACCCCAGTGGAAAGAATTAGTGCTGCCTGTTGTACGATTATACACCATGATGTTTCTTGGTCTATTAACTCTGAATACCAGGCTGCTGCAAGACTCATGTTGACAACTACACCTACAGGAACAAGATCTGCAAGGGCACTGTTGGAGGCACGCATTGTTTGAAGAATTCCTTTCCGTGCCTTTGTTGAAGTTAAAAACAGCACTGCAATAAAGAGGACACTTGGTCCATTAAAGTTATCAATCCATCCTGGAAAAGGTTCTTTCCAACTGGCACCAACAATCAATGGCCTTATAATTGCCATATTTAGCTTTGCTCCTTGTTGTACAGCATATTCTGCCAGTGCTTTTGTGTATACAGTATGTAGGCATTAGGTCTGTCTCCTATCAATTTTGGCATGATATCATTTACTAGGCCATCATCCATCCACTCTAAAGAATCAGTCAGCTTCTTGGGATCCACAGGTGGTGGGTAGACTACTTCATCAATCTGCTTTCGATTACAGTAGGCATATGCTGTTGATACATGCATGAACACTTCCAGATTCTTCATTTGTTGTGCAAGGAGAATAAGCTGTCGCGTTGCAATCACATTTAACTGAACAGCATCTCTTTAAGTTTTCATAAAACCTTACTGTAGCTGTACAGTAGAATATAATATTGGTAGAATCTATGATCACCTCTTTATCTTCTTCACTGAGAGCTATTTTAGGTTGGGTGAGTTCACTGTTGATTGCTATAATTTTCTCTCTCAAATCTGGATTTTCATCTCTCAATCTGTCAAAGAGCTTGCCACTAAGGATTTCTTCTACTCTTTTTTGTGGTGTCTGTCTAGCTTTATGCCTCACCAAAACATACACTGAATTCACCTTAGGACAAGATCTCAGCAACTTTTCCAGAAGCACCTTCTATAGAAAACCAGTAGCTCCTGTGAGGAGGACATTCTTGCCTTCATAGTATTCTGGGATTGAAACCATTTTGATCCTAGACGCAGAGGCTCAAGCCTTGCTCTCCCGCTGGCTGTCCAGCTATGGCTGCGACGCCACCGCTGTCGTGCTTTCCTCATTCGCTTTTCCACCGCCCCCGACCAGCTGCTCCTCACTCACTTTAAATTTCCTGTGTACCTAGCAGTGGTTGGAATGCTCTTTTCATCCTCTCAACTTGCTTATCTCCCATTCATTTTGGCTTCTTTTAGCTTCAACTCCCACTGCTAACTGCCTGATTATTTTCTTGTTTCCTAGTTCAAATACCTTAGAGAGAGAATCTGATTAACCCTGTTCATTTTTTCATCAGAGATCTCTAACAGGAGAATGCCCTCATGTACCCATACTGGTTTAGTCAGCTGTGACTAGGAATGTGGGGTCTCACAGTATAAAGAACTTGACTGCATAGGGCGGTTCCCTGATCTGGGGATGAAAGTGGGGGCAGTTAGCATGAGAAACCCCGTGATTGGCATGCTTAGTGGTTGGAGGCATTAGTGTATTGACCAAGGATCCCGTGCCATATTGAACTTCATGCCCATATTTTTTGACAGTTGAGTATCCAAAATTTTAAAGACCCCATAAGCTTTACCCCATGAGCTTTTCCTAACTAGACGTGGAGATATGTATGAGAAATATGTTCTATATAATGTCTAGAGCAGTGTTTCTGTTGTCATATAAATTAACGGAATTTTATAAAACAGAGCTCATTGTCTTGGAGATACTGGTACCTTCAGTCAGGGTGTCCTGCTGACGTATGGTACCCCATTTGCCTTCTCATTATCAAAGAACAGAAGAAATTTGCTTTCTTATTAGCATGACATAAATATTCATATGGATGACTGTTTTTTGTTAAAGTTTGTGGTAGCTCATTAGACTGTAAATACTGCAAATGAGGCTGGGTGTGGTGACTCACACCAGTGATCCCAGCACTTTGGAAGGCCGAGGCAGGCATCAGGGGGTCAAGACCATGCTGGCTAACATGGTGAAACTCCATCTCTACTAAAAATGCAAAAAATTAGCCAGGCATGGTGGTACATGCCTATAGTCCCAGCTACTCAGGATTTGAAACCCAGAAAAGTGAGTCATAGACTCCATGACTACCAAAGATAATCAGGGCAGTCACAAAAGGTCAACCTTTAACTAATTCTGAGCCACATGAACTTCAGCACCACAGTCCTTTAGGAGAAGGACTTTGTTATGCTGAAAGCATTGCCCAGCGTAGTTCAGTAACCTGGAGGGCATCAACTCTGCAAAGTTGTTAAATGCCAGTTAAGGCATTCCTATGTCCCATGTTGTTAGCACTCTGTGATAACTTAAGAAGCCAAAAGTACATAGTGCAGTTTTGAAAATATACATTGTCAAAAAAATCACAAAGATTACTACATCGATCAGCTATTTAAAATATTTATATACCTAGATTTACTTGTTCACCAAGAATCCCATGTAGCTGAGGTTTTCCTGTTGTTTTTATTTGCTTTCTCTGTGTGTAAATCATGCGTCTCCCATGAGGTTGTTGTTGAAAGCTATAGACTATCTCAAATTATGTTGGTATCATCTTAGTGTTTTATATAAACATTGTTTCTTGACTACATTCTTTGTTACAATGATTCAGTAATGACTGCTTTTTTTCTTTTTCATTTCAGCATGTCTTCAAATTGGAGCAAGAAGAATATATGAAGGAACAGATTCCCTGGACACTCATAGATTTTTATGATAATCAGCCTTGTATTAATCTTATAGAATCTAAACTAGGCATTCTAGATTTGCTGGATGAGGAATGCAAGGTAAGTATGATTTCCTGGGGTACTTGATTTATTAAAATAGATGTATCAAGGTCAGAAGATAAGTGGGATGAAGCAGAGATTCATTAGTATGTCATGGAATGCCTTTGTGGTGACAAGTAGGGGTTATACTTTCATTCCAAAGGGACACTAGACCCCAATGGTTCTAATTACGAGCGAAACTAGGTGACTTTTCCTCCTCTTTTCAGCTGATTCTAAATTACTTGAAAATTTGGCACTAGATACTACCAATTTTAGCCACTTTTCTTCTTCATTTGTTTATATTTAGTACTTTTTGTTCAGCGATAGAATTTATTTAAAGAAAAGCAAGAAACTGTGCAGAAGATATTTTGAATAATAGTTCTGAATAGTTTTAATTTTTAAACTAATTGGTTATTACTGACATATTTGATAGGGATGGAGTTGTATCTTTAATATTTGAAGGCGCAGCAAGTTGGAAAAAAGCATTAGATCCCTAGCTTCACCACTGAGTGATCTTAGGCAAACCTATTCTTTCTCTTAATTTCTCTTTAGTTTATCTTCAGCAAGTTACAGTTTACCACAGGTTGACTCTCCTAAGCATCCAGACTTCCTACAACATTAGGATGCATGTGATGAAAAGGTTCTCAGCCTCACTTGAGATTTTTTAAAATGCAGAGCAAAGCAAAAATGGTACACCGCTCTTTACTCATCTAGGAGGCACGTTTAAACTTGATAACTTTCATTTGATAATACTAAATGAGTATTGCATATATACTCTTGATGAAGAACATGAATTCATTCAGTGTACTTTATAGGATATTTGTCAACATTTGTCATAATTGTAACTACATACCCTTGACCCAGGAATGGAACTGCTGAGAGTTCCACCTTTGATTATACTTGCAAAAGTGTCCAAGGATATACACGTAAGAAGAAAACTGTGGCAATTGTCATAATAATAACAAAAAAATCAGTAACAACCTAGAAGCCATAAATAATGCAGAGAATGCTATTGTTGAGAAGCTGAAAAAAATTCAAGGATTGTGTAGAATTATCCCATTCACATACATGCCTTCAAAGAGAGTTAAGAAGTCCGGGCATGGTGGGCTCACACCTGTGATCCCAGCAGTTTGAGAGATTGAGGTGGATGGATCATTTGAGCTCAGCAGTTCAAGACCAGCTGGGGCAACATGGTAAAACCCCATCTACAAAAAATTAAAATTAGCTGGGCATGGTGGTGTGTGCCTGTTGTTGCAACTACTCGGGAGGCTCAGCCAGGATAATCACTTGACCCTGGGTGGCAGAGGTTGCAGTGAACCAAGATTGTGCCATTGCACTTCAACCTGGGTGAAAAGAGTAAAACCTTGTCTCCAAAAAGAAAAAAAAAAAAAGAAAGAAAGAAAGAGAGAGGAAGAAATAATTACATTGGAGGAAATGGCAAGAGGAGGCTGCTCTCCATTTTATATCTTTCTGAATTATAGAAATATTTCACTATGTCCAGATGTTACCTTTATTTGGCAGATTAATTTTTAATTTTTGTGGGTACCTAGTTGCTGTATATGTTTATGGGGGTACATAGATGTTTTGGTACAGGAATGCAATGTGTAATAATCACATCATGGAAAATTGGGTATCCATCCCCTCAGGCATTTATCTTTTGTGTTACAAACAATCAAATTATATTCCTAGCTATTCTTAAATGTACAGTTAGATTATTATCAAATACTAGGGGTCATTCATTCTTTCTAATTTTTTTTGTACCTATTAACCATCCCCCATCTTCCCTCCCCACAACCTCCTGCTACCCTTCCCAGCCCCTAGTAACCACCTTTCTATTCTCTTATCTTCATGGGTTCAATTGTTTTAATTTTTAGATCCCACAAATAAATGAGAACATGAGATGTTTGTCTTTTTGTTTAACAGAATTTTTAAAACATACGTAATAGCCCTGATATTTCAACTTAAACCTGGGAGGCTGTTACTGTTGTTGAGATAGAGTTTTGCTCTTATTGCCCAGGCTGGAATGCAGTGGTGCGACCTCAGCTCACTGCTACGTCTGTCTGCCTCCTGATTTCAAGGGATTCTCCTACATCAGCCTCCTGAGTAGCTGGGATTACAGGCGCCTGCCACCACACCCAGCTAATTTTTTGTATTTTTAGTAGAGATGGGGTTTCACTATTCTGGTCAGGCTGGTCTTGAAGTCTTCAACTCCTGACCTCAGGTAATCCACCCGCCTCTGCCTCCCGAAGTGCTGGGATTACAGGCGTGAGCCACCATGCCTGGCTGGCTTTTGTTGTTTTTAAAAACAAAACAAAACAAAATAAAACATTTATTTGATGATTCTTCATATACGCAGGTTGAGCTTCCCCAAGATTAGGCTGGGTTGCCCACAAGAAGGTCTCAGTCATACTCTTCATTAGTAATTGGTTGTTGGCCTCTAACAATGAAATATGGAAGGAATGAGCTCCTAAATTGAATTGTAAAAGTTCTTAGGTAAAGCCAAAAAAAAAAAAAGATCTTTTGGCAGCTGATGCATTAGAAGCATCACAGGATTTACCTTGTTTTCTTTCTTCCTTTTCCTCCTGGATATAGATGCCTAAAGGCACAGATGATACCTGGGCCCAAAAATTGTACAACACACATTTGAACAAATGTACACTCTTTGAAAAGCCTCGTCTATCAAACAAAGCTTTCATCATCCAACATTTTGCTGACAAAGTAAGAAAGCTTTATATCATTTTTTCTTTTGGAATACTTAAATGTGGAAAAAAAATCAGTAGGAGGTATGTTTTTTTTTCTTTTGCTGATGTTTGCATTCTTTAGGCCTCAAGAGACAGCAGTCTTTAGTGTTGACATGTTGGTTTTCTTTTCCTTTAATCTAAATTGAGTTATTTGTGAAATAAGTATGAGTCTATAATTCTGAGATCCAGGAAACTCTACAAACTAAGTGTTTTTTTTTTATATAAACCATTTAGCTGAACCTGATCTCTGATCTGAATTAACATGAGATTATTTATAGTCTGTCTTTATCCCAGTTAGGCTGGATATTTACATATTTTACTGTAGAAATATGAATATGTTTTGTTATAGATTACTGCCTTCCATTCTGGGGGAAATATTTTTTAAAATGGTGTATGTACTTACTACATCTCTAAATGCCTGAAAAATTTCTGAGTCCTAAAGCTTAGCTGATCTCAAGGGTTTCAGAATAGCAATTGTGGACTTGTGTCACCCCTCTGTGATTGATTCATGGGGTCCTTTCTGATAAGGCATACAGTCTTACTGCTTCACAAGTTCTGTAGCATGCTAAGCAAATCACAAGCAATGAGAATAATTTATATTTCAAGGAGATTGTGGTATAGGCTTTGGGGTAAGCTTTGCAGGGTCCTCTTCAGGGATTGAGGACTTTCTAAGTCTGCCTTAATCCCATCTGGAAGCCTTGAGATGACCCTAGGGCTACCTAAAGGTTGTGTGATGCAAGCTTTGAGCCCCTTGACTGGCAGACAACTGAAGTTGCTGGAGTTTGGGAAAAGAAATAGTCCATTCTCAAGTAGTCTTACTTTACCAAATCAAACAATATTTCCCCAGCCTTCACCTTCATCCATCACCAGCTCTTCACCTCTGTCCCCATCAGACACTCATTTGTTCCTTCTGATTCTCTCTCCTGCTGTGATTTCTCTTCTAAGAGAAAAATGCCCCTGCTTGATGATGACCTAGGTTGGAAGGAGATACAAGGAGTCATCCTTGGAAGATCTCTCTTTGGCCAGCATGAGAGAAGAAGATCTGCTTGTGAATCTCCTTACCCACTAACTGAGAGAATCTTTTAGATCGCAATTACTCAGCACTACCACTGTTCCCTAGGAAAAACAATATTTGAGGAGTTTTACTCTAGAGTTAACATACTTCTTACCAGGAATGGCCCTGGTTTCTTAGAAAAGATTGATAGTACCAGTTTGCCGAGAGCTGATCATATCATATCTATTCAAAAGTTTTATCAGTTAAGGAGATTTTTCCATGTGTTTTCAGGTGGAATACCAGTGTGAAGGATTTCTCGAAAAGAATAAAGACACCGTTTTTGAAGAACAAATTAAAGTTCTTAAATCAAGCAAGGTAACTATGGATAGGCTTACTCTAATGCATGATGTATTCAAAGCATTAGCTTTTTAAAAATAAAAAATGATTTTTTAACAAAAATTAGTTTCAGTTTTTAATTTATCAAATATATAGTACTTAGTATGTTAGTCAAAGTAATTTAGCTGCATGTCAGTTCCTGTTCTAAATGTATTAAAAATGCTAGTTCATCTAATGACTCTTATTTTATGGATAAGGCACCTGAGACACAGAGACTTCATGGCTAGTGAGTTTTCAAGCCAAATTAAAATCCAGGCTGTCTTGCTGAGTCTGTGCTTTTAACCCCTATACAATGTTTCTTTCAGTTTGATGTGAAATTACTGCCTTCACAGTGGTTCTAAACTCTCTTGTGCCTTGGTGAGAGGCCATGAGAGAAAACAGCCTTTCTGCCATGTCAGTTTGAAGGGAGGTACTAGAAACATGACCTTACACACTCCATCTAGATGGAGACTGATCTCTGGATCATACTGAGTGCAGTTCCAGGTGTGGCCCCAAAGCACTTTGAAATTATTTTTCTTAGGCATAGATATTAGAGACACTGCTTTCCAGAGGGAAAATAATATTCCAGATGGTAAGAGTTGTGATGGCTACACTGTACTGATGATTAGGTTGATCCCTGCCTCCGTCCCTTGACCTTCTTCTGGGAAGAATGGCGAGGGGAGCATGTCTTATGTTCATCTCGCAGAGAGCAGAGTGGGAAGCCGGTTAGTTGGGTCAACTAAATGGATATTCAGGCATTCAACTAAAAATTAAAAATTTTCATATGAATTCTTCTAGATTACTAACTGGCAGCCTTTGTTTTTCTAGTTTATTCTCAAGAATCCTTATAACTTCAGTGGAATAGTATATGAATTTTTTTTTTTTTGAGACAGAGTTGTACTCTCTTGCCCAGGCGGGAGTGCAGTGGCGCAATCTCAGCTCACCCCAACCTCTACCTCCTAGGTTCAAGCAATTCTCTTGCCTCAGCCTCCTGAGTAGCTGGGATCACAGGCATGTGCCACAATGCCTAGCTAATTTTGTATTTTTAGAAGAGACAGGGCTGTTGTTTTTAGAATAAAAACATTTCCTATCAGTAATTTTTTTAATATAAAGATCATGAAGACCAAACCCAGTTTTTGCCTTCAGAAAATAGTAAATTGAGACCAGGTGCAGTAGCTCATCCTGTAATCACACTTTGGGAGGCTGAGGCAGGAAATTGCTTGAGCCCAGGAGTTTAAGACCAGCCTCAGCAATATGACAAAACCCCACCTTTACAAAAAAATACAAAAATTAGCTGGGCATGGTGGCACATGGCTGTAGTTTCAGTTACTTGGGAAGCTGAGTGGGAGGATCACTTGAGCCTGCGAGGTTGAGGCTGCAGTGAGCCACAATTGTGCCTGGGAGACAGCGAGACTCTGTTTCAAAAAATATATGTGTTAAAGTGTCTAACAGGCACTGGACATTAATTGTTTATAGTTTACAGGATTGATATGTAAGAGAAAAATTCCATAGTGCCAATCTCTAAGTATTATTTAAAGATCTTTATTGGTTTGATTTATAAATAATGATAAAAACCATGAAATTCTAGTTTTATTGCTTTGTTAAAGTAGTTTAGCTGAAACAGAACATTCACAGGTTTTCATCTGATTCTTGTTTTTGTTTTGAGATAGGGTCTCACTGTCACCCAGGCTGGAGTGCAGTGATGTGATGATCACAGGGCTCACTGCAGCCATGACCTCCCTGACTCTGGTGATCCTTCCACCTCACCTTTTCAAGTAGCTAGGACTACAGGCACCCATCACCATGCCTGGCTAAATTTTCTCAAAATGGGATTTTACCATGTTGTCCAGGCTGGTCTTGAACTTCCGGTCTCAAGGGATCCCTGTACCTCAGCCTCCCAAAGTACTGGGATTACAGGTGTGAGCCACTGCACCTGGCCAGGTTCTGATTCTTGAGGTACCCTTAATCAGTTGTCTTTATTCTACTTAGTTTTCTAATTGGCTATTAAGTCCTTAGTCATCACAAGGTGGGTTTGCATTCTGACAAATCTTTTGTAGTGACTGCCAGTCTGTGTAACATTATTGCAGTCGAAATGGGGACAGTGTGTGATTTATCTAACATAGCTTGGAGGCTTCCTTTGCTTCTGGTCTTTGCTGAAACACAATCTAGGAGTATGAACTTCATGATATCACTGCACCTGATAGAAGCCAGTATTATACAGTGTAAATGTGTTCTCTTGGAAGTACTAATTTTAGAAGATTAATATTTGTGTTATGTGTTTTGAGTAGAACTGTTTTTGTGGTAATACAGTGTGGAGTATGTTTGTGTATGTATGTGTTTTGTCTTTTTTTTCCCTGCAGCCTTTAGCCAAACTTGCAACTTGAAAAGGAATTATAAACTTATCAGAAGGTGTCTTATTTGATATTTTTCCACCATAATGAAATCTGTTGCCACATCTAATATCAGGAAGCATATAAATAAATTTCAACTTGACAAAATACCACTAAATGTCAGTTCTACCAAATACCATTAAAATGAGTTTTAACCCTCTACTTTCTGTATAGCTTATTAATAAAGGAAAGCACAGTTCATCTACTGAGTTTATGCCTCCAATCTCTCATCTGTAAAGTAGAATCATAATAGCATCTAATTTATGGAATTGTTATGAAGAGTAAATAGATTGTATTAAGGTTATTAGATAAATAATTGTAGTTGCAAATACAGCTTGACTAATTACTGGTTTCATTTAAATGGGATGTGGCACTGTTGTAAAGCTATGTACATACATCAAGATCTTCCTTTGGATTCGTTTGAAGTCTCTTTTTAAACTTTTTTTCTATAATCCAAATTATCTTCTAAAAATTATTGTTCATAATTTAAAAAATAATGTTGTAGAACTTGTTCATGACATTTTCACTGAGATTTTTAGTGATTGTTTTTGAGTTTGTGCTCAGCACTTGAGTTAGTAGGTAGATAAATAAAGCAGGTGAGTAAACACTTCATAAATAACTTGCAAACTTGGACTAGTGTTTTTCTCTGTGTGATGCTAAAACAGTTTGTGGAACTGAAGTAATAAGACTTCAGTTACTATTTTTCTCATAAAATAATTATAGTTAAAACCCATTAATATGTTTAAATTTGTCATTTCCTGTGGATTAGGTTTTCAAGTCTGGGTACAGTCGTTTTGACTTTCCTTTCTCCCAAACATGGTTGTAGAATTATTGCATTTTTCAATTTTTTTTTTTTTTTAATAGCACGTACCTCACCTTCCTCTCATATTCTGGGCTCTTAGCACAGATACTGACTCTTTCTGGAGTGTGACTCTGACAGTGGTTACTTAAGGAAGGGAGTCGCTATTGCAACTTTCTTTAATATTTCTTCTGTGAAGGTTTACGTTCAAGTTTGATTTAGAATGTAATTTCCTTATACTGTTTCTGACCCAGTTTAAGATGCTACCAGAACTATTTCAAGATGATGAGAAGGCCATCAGTCCAACCTCAGCCACCTCTTCAGGGCGCACGCTCCTCACACGTGCTCCTGCAAAGCCCACCAAAGGCAGACCAGGCCAGATGGCCAAAGAGCACAAGAAAACAGTGGGGCATCAGGTGAGTTTAGGGAGCTGCTGCCACCATGCTCCTTCCTTTCTGGCTTATCTGAAACCTTAGATCTTCCCTCTTCAGCCCCCCAGGTAAGATCGTCAGTTGAAGGGAGCCTAGAGCTTTCACTGTGAGATCATACACCACCATCCACTCAAACTCTCCTCTACCCAGTTTTAGACCTGTGACTCTGCATAAGCCTTTCCCAGAATAATTTATCCACTGCTTAATGCTTCTAGCACATAGCATCTCTCTTAGACCACCTCATCCTTGCTTAGTTTTCTGTTTGTTTTGTCTCTGTATTTGTACGGTGCCTCAGTCAGCTCCTTCAGAACAGTGCCCTTGCCTTTCTTTGATGTCTTATGTTCTCTGTGAGTAGAAAATATTACATACATGCTTAGTGCCTGAACAGGGGTTTAGGGCTTGGAATGGAGGCTGAGAACTCCTCAGCTTGTTTTCCTGTGCATGGGACCCTGTGCCTGGTGTAGACAGGAACAGGGCCTGACCCAGGTCCACAGCCTCCAGTCTTGATATTAGGTCCCTAATTTAAACCTCTCTCTGCCTATCCTTTCTCATTCTCCCACTCATTACCTATACTCTTCTAAGTCATCTACTATGTTTTCCAGTATCGAGCAAAATTCCCACTTTATATGATTAAATGGCCTGGAAGCAAGGTTATATTGTTAGTTACATATGACTGAGCTCATAACAGGTTTCTGTAGCTTCCTTTGAGGAAAAGGAGTGGGAGTATAGGAATTTATATTTAGTAGAGTAAGCATGAAAATGGTAGAATTTAGGCATATTTTAACCAAAAGCCCTAGCATTCTTGTTTTGTGGCTGCTCCCCATCTAAAGATGGGTCAAGTTTATAAGTGGCAAAATTATCTCCATTAGTGTTATAGGAAGATAATTTTCCATTGTTTTACATCATGTTTGACTTTGGACAAAACCTTGAAACCCCTTTCTCTCCTTTTTCATGCAGTTCAGAAACTCCCTGCACTTGCTTATGGAGACACTCAATGCCACTACCCCTCACTATGTGCGCTGTATCAAGCCTAATGACTTCAAGTTCCCATTCACGTAAGTATTTCTATACTACCGAATGAAAAAGTGCATATGTCATAAGAAGTGCCAAACCAACCAAAGAAACCAATATTTTTCTTACATTTTTATAAGGAAAAAATATTGGGGTAAGTCTTCATGTCTTGTAGAGGGAAGCCACTAGTCAGTATTTTTTTTTTTTTTTTCAGTTTTTCTCCCTTTTGAGAATGTGAGAATAAATTAGCAGTTAGCCTTCTGAAGATTTGAAAAGTTGAGGTCAGCCAACCATTCTGGTTCTGTTTTCTGTTTGAATTTGCTTCATTTGATCTCTCTGGGATTTTTGTTGATTTGGGCGTGTGGTGGAATCAGCACTGGCTGGGACAAGGCTGTTTGGCAAATGCTTACCTGCTGCTTCTCCACTGTTGAAACCATCAGAGGGTGTCTGTTTTGACCAGCACCTTCTCCTGCTTCAGATACCATGCATGACGGGAGAATCAGTCTTTCTGGAGATTTTTTTACAAAAAGAAATATTTTTCTGATTTTAAAAGTAATACATGTACATTATAAGGACAGTTTTCAGGAAATACAGAATAGGATAAAAATAAATGAAAAAGCATCCATCATACCCAGAGAGATACCTGGTATTGACGGGTATACGTTGTTCTTGATTAACCATCATCCCTTCCTTCCATGCCTTGTGTGTGTGTTTATGTGTGTGTGTGTGTGTGTGAGAGAGAGAGAGAGAGAGAGAGAGAGAGAGAGAGAGAGAGAGAGAAGGAGGGGGCTTGTGCGATGATTGCTGTTTAATCTTTACTTTTAATTTAAGATTGTGAACGCTTTCCCTGTTGGTAAATAAAAATTCACATACTCATTATAATGGCTGCAGAGTATCCAATTGTATAGACATAGTATCATTTATTTAAATTAGTTCCTACTGATGGCCATTTAGCTTGTTGCAACAATTCTATAATAAACGTCCTGTGCCAAATATTTTTGTGTATTTGTCTGATTATCTCATTGGGGTGATGTGATTCTAGATGTGGAATTTATAAGTCAAAGACCAGGCACACTTACAAAGGTTGTAATAGCTCCCACCACCCACCCTCCATGATGTATGAGTGCCCTTTTCCCTACCCTCTTGCCAGTTCTACTCTCCGAAGATTCTGCCTTAGAATTACCTTTTATCACCAACCCCATCTTCCACCACCATCAGAACATCTGAGAAGATAGGACAGGGGAGGCCTGGATGGATTGCTCAGAGCTTAACTATAAGAGTCACAGGAGCGATCATTTGGCTGAAGGGAAAACTTTCTACTTCCTCTTCAGTGCGAGTTTAACTTGAAGATGCCATTTGCCTAGAGTGAAATAAATAAAAAATGTAATACAGAACAAAAATCTTGTTCATTGATGTGGACACTATCAATGTTTACAACAGTAGTAATTTTTTAAAAAATATAACTAAATGAGAATATTTTATTTGTGCTTCCTGTTGGAGAAATCTCAAGGATTGGCCAGTCTTTATTCCAGGGGATCTCTGTATACTGAGCTAATGAATTCTGAGAGCTTCTGATCAGGCCATGCCATGAAATGAGTATGGGCAAAGTGCAAAGGAGTGTTGTGTTGTTTTAAATATGCTCAGTGGACTTTCTTTTTGTTGTTTTTGAGACAAAGTCTCACTCCATTGCACAGGCTGAAGTGCAGTGGCATGATCTTGGTTCACTGAAACCGCCACCTCCTGGGTTCAAGTGATTCTCCTGCCTCAGCCTCCCTAGTAGCTGGGATTACAGGTGTGTGCCACCATGCCTGACTAATTTTTGTATTTTTAGTAGGGATGAGGTTTCACCATGTTGGCCAGGCTGGTCTCAAACTCATGACCTCAGGTGATCCACCCTCCTGGGCCTCCCAAAATGCTGGTATTACAGGCATGAGCCACTGTGCCCGGCAGACTTTCTTATGAGTTTGTGGTATGAGCTGCAGGTAATGTTTACAGCGCTTTATTTTTACTGCTTGTCGCCTCCTCCCCATTCTCTCATAGTTTTCCATTTTGATCACTGCTCCACCTTCTGAATACTTTCTTTTCTGATTTATCCATTTTACTCTTACAAAAGAACTTACACCCTGACTGAGGAGAGTAATTTGTGGCCAAGCAAGGTTCTTTGTGAATTAATAGCTTTGATTTTTTATGTGTAGGTTTGATGAGAAGAGGGCAGTGCAGCAGCTGAGAGCATGCGGTGTTCTGGAAACTATCCGAATCAGTGCGGCTGGTTTCCCCTCACGGTGAGCCTGGCATTTTTCAGATGTGAGGGGTTCTAATGGGAGAAGTTCCTAGTTCTTTAAGTAAACTCAGATGGTTTTCTTTTTATAGATGGACTTACCAAGAATTTTTCAGCCGCTACCGTGTCCTAATGAAGCAGAAAGATGTGCTGAGTGACAGAAAGCAAACATGCAAGAATGTGTTAGAGAAACTGATACTGGTGAGAAAGATTTCACTTACTGTCATCTGAGCAGAAGGCCTTGGGGTTCTGACCTTGGAAAGCCCTGGAAACTTCTGTATAAAATTTTACTAATCCACATCATTTTGGGGTGGGTTGGGCGAGGGGCACGGTACTGTGTTTGAGATGCTGAAACTAGTGAGGATGATGGTCCACCATCAGGATGCAGACTTTTTAGGGCCTGGATCCACACTTGAGACACATCCTTCTTAGAGAGTTTGAGTATTATTAATAAAAATGTACCTAGTACTTCTGGAAGTCACTAGGCTAAATGCTGTGTGATTAAGGAAAAATAAGTCTTGTTCTCAAGTGATATAGTCTTGCTTGGAAAATAATGCATTTTAAAGACAAGTATAATATATAACCATAGTGTCTGTATCAAATGCTGAATGAGTGGAACGAAAAATCAGGGAAGGCAAAGCAACGTCCGGCTATGGGAAGGAGGGATTTTATGAAAGAGGTATGTTTTGAGTCAGGCCATTAGAATGGGTAAGACTGTGTAAAAATGGAAGGAAAATAATATAAGAGGGAGCAAGAAGCAGGGTAAGTGTAGGATTTGCTCATAAAACAGTTTTTTGCAGTGTGAGATTTGTGTATGGGACAGTAGCAAAATGGTTGGGAAATGTAGGTTGGTGTTACAGAGAGTTTTGCAGTCCAGGCTAAAGAGTTCTCAAACTTTACTGTGACCTGGAATGCTTATTAAAATACAGATTGCTAGGCCTCGTCATTAGAATTTCTGATTCAGTAGGTCTGAGGTGAGCCCAAGAATTTGCATTTCCGGGGTGATGCCAATGCTGTCTGAGGACTACATTTTGAGAACTACTGATCTTGGTCTTAGAGAATTAAAGATTAATGAAAAATTAAAAAAAAATATTTTCACTTGTTAATGCTAGCCTAGATGGATTACCTCACTTTGAGCTAATTGATCATAATTACTAGCTGTGGACTGCTTGTAATGCCCCTTTTTTGTTAATAATATTTTTTCCTTGAAGGAGTTAAGGCTACTTCCTCAGTAATATTTTTTAAAAACTGGGGCTTTTCGAGTTTGGCCCAATTCCCTTCTAACCTGGCTTCAGGGGGGAATGTAGAGCAGAAATAGGAACAGGCCTATGCCTGGTCCCCTCACCCAGGCCACTTCAAGCCTAATCAGGGCTTTGCAGGGAATTTAGGCAGAGGCTGAAAGATGGAAGCAGGGTTGGTGTGAGATGTGAAGTGGCTCAGGGGTAAGGACCACTTTTCTAGCTAGGGTTCCTGTGTAAATTTTATTGATTAAAATTGAAATAATTTTAGATTTTTTAGATATATGTGGATATTTTTGATTTTGGGGTATCACATATGAGATATGATGAGATATCTACTTATAGGGAAAAATGATTTTTTCTGTTTTCACTTAGCATTTCAGATCACATGGCTGGGCGTGGTGGCTTATGCCCATAATCCTAGCACTTTGGGAGGCTTGGGCAGACTGTTTGAGGCCTAGAGTTTGGGCCATGCTGGCCAGTGCTGGCCAGTGCTGGCCATGCTGGCCGATATGGTGAAACATCGTCTCCACTAAAAATACAAAAATTAGCTGGACGTGGTGGTCCGTGCCTGTAATCCCAGCTACTCAGGAGGCTGAAGCAGGAGAATCGCTTGAACCCAGAAGGCGGAGGCTGCAGTGAGCCAAGATCATACTACTGTACTCCAGCCTGGGAAGCAGAGCGAGACTCTATCTAAAAAAAAAAAAAAAAAAAAAGAATTTCAGATCACAGTAATGATTCTTATACATAAATTATTCCATTCTTTGGTGCAGGAATGCTTAATGATTTGCATACTTCTAGATAAGGTGAATCACAATGTAATATAAATAATTATATTTCTGTAAAAGGAGTTTGAAATTTGTAGGATTTTAAACATATTTATGGAGTTTTGTTACTTTGTTTTCAGATATTATTGATAAAGCCAAGGGATAAATGTTTAGAAATGTACTCAATATGAATACTCAAGGATTTTGGTTTTTGGTTTTTTAATTTTATTTCATATGCATTTCTTCCTGCCTTATTCTTCACACTGGTGTTTTTGTCCCTTCAGCTTTCTCATGGAATATACAGCTCGATGTAATCCTTACAGCCTGGGTCAGTCAGAGAGAGTCAGCATCTCCATTTCCTTGAGATGTTTAAAACACAAACAAGCAAATAATAGCTGCCTATAACCCACAACCAAGTTTTGGGCCTCAGATAATAATTCCAGGTAGAATAATTCTGGAAAATAACTCTTAAACTGCAGTTTTTCTTGAAATCCCTTCTGTTTGCTCAACTTGCAAAGGATTAAAAATCTGGTTCCATTAGTTAATTGTGACGTAGCCCAAGTTTTAGCTGATAGATTAATTCCTTTACTGATTCTGCTTTTGGACATTTTTTCTTTTAAATTTCATTTATATGGTTATTATTTCTGAATATACAATTTCTTTCAAAAATAGGACAAGGACAAATACCAGTTTGGTAAGACAAAGATCTTTTTCCGTGCCGGTCAAGTTGCCTATCTAGAAAAATTGAGAGCAGACAAACTGAGGGCTGCCTGCATCCGGATCCAGAAGACCATCCGTGGGTGGCTGCTGAGGAAGAAGTACCTACGCATGCGGAAGGCGGCCATCACCGTGCAGAGATATGTGAGGGGCTACCAGGCTCGATGGTAGGTCTCATGATGACCTATTAGGTTGCCCATCTAATTCACTGTTCAACCAAGGACAGTTTTGAGTGGTCACCATACCTGAAAAGATAACACCTCACCTTTTCTTAGTTCCAAGGAACAACAGATTAACTCATAGGACAGCTAAATAGAATAAAATTCACTCAGCCTTATGAATGATTCAGATTTATCTTCAAAACATTTACAAACTGCTGCCTACTTAATGTCCTCAAAATTTTTATTTTTGATTCTTTTATATTGAGCTTGAGGAAATCATATATAAATTAAGATAGTCATGAATATGAGCTGGTTAATAATGACTGCATGAAGAATTTTGGGGAGCAATTAACTGAGATGGTCTTGAAGAGAATTACACTTTAGTGTGATTACATATTAGGTTGGTTTTAATTGAGAAGTATAAGTAGAAGTGAATTAACAAACTTATACGCTAATAGATTCAGGAAAAATATGGTACATTAGTATTGGCTAGATCCAAGAAAGCTGGTGATAACTAAGTGTGAGGTTACAGTGTATGTCCATCTGTTATATAAAGACGACATAGTAATGGATCCTATTGCAGAAAGAATGAACTTTTTTGAATTTCACTTTCTTGTAAAATCTGGCAATGTGGGCCATCCTGCTTTTCAGGGTAAGGGAGGGCTCAAATGAGATAATAAATGAAAAAAAACTTTGGGAAACTATAAATTGCTATACAAATGTAAGTAAATGTAAATGTTGACTTAGCATGCACATTATTAGAATAATACAATGGAGGTACTACTTTTAATGCCTAAAACAGTGACACTGTTTACATCTCTATAACATGTATTCCTGTGTTTTTTTTCTGAGTGACAACACACTGTTATTTTCTTTGGCCAGCTATGCTAAGTTTCTGCGCAGAACCAAGGCAGCAACTATCATTCAAAAGTACTGGCGTATGTATGTGGTCCGCAGGAGGTATAAGATTAGACGAGCTGCCACTATCGTTCTTCAGTCTTATTTGCGAGGCTTCTTGGCCAGAAATAGGTATCGCAAGGTGAGGCATTATTTTCAACTTTGTTTATTCCTTCTATTAGCATTAAACAAATTCCACTTCTATTTAGAGTACCACAGGGGCTACAATGAACATAGAAACTGTATGGAGACAACCAGCAATTGAAATGCATATTTATTAAAAAAATTTTGTTTTTTTTTTAGAAACAGGATCTTGCTCTGTCACCCTGGCTGGGGTGCAGTGGTGCAGTCATAGCTCAACTGCAGCCTCAAACTCCTGGCCTCAAACAGTCCTCCCACCATGGCCTCCCAAAGTGCTGAGATTACAGGTGTGAGCCACTGTGCACATGCCCAGCCTGAAATGCATTTTAAAATACTAAATAATCACATATATTTATTAACAAAACAATAGGGAAAAAACATTTACCTCTTTTTTCTCTTTGTTTATATAATTTTTAAAAAAGGTATTTTTCTCTTTGTTTATATAATTTGAAAAAAAAGGTATTTTAGTTTCCTTTGGCTGCTATAATAAATTATCATACACTTGGTACCTTACACCAACTAAAATTTATTCTCTCAGAGTTCTGGAGACCAGAAGTCCAAAATCATTATCATTGGGGCAAAATCAAGTTGTCAGCAGGCTGGTATCCCTCCGGAAGCTCCAGGAAAGAACCCATTTCTTGCCTCTTGCATCTTCTGGTTGCTGCCAGCATTCCTGTGCTTGTGGCCACATCAGTCCAGTCTCTGTCTCTGTCTTTACAGCATTTTCTCCTCTGCGTACCTGACTTCTCTTCTCCTATCTGCCTCTTATAAGAATAATTCGGATAGCGTTTAGGTTCTACCATGTAATCCAGGATAATCCTCTCATCTGAAGATCCTTAACCTAATCATGTCTGCAAAGGCCCTTTTTCTGAATAAGTTAACATTTGCAGGTTCCAGGAATTAGCACCTAATTTCCATGGGGCCCACTGTTTAGATGACTACCGAGAACTTTGAATAGGTAGAATATATGACAAACAGGTTGAAGATTATTCCAAGAATGAAACAACCTTGAGAGAATTTTCCATGGTCAAGAGGTGACAAAGTATAACATTAATTCAGTTAAAATTTTATTGACAGCTATGATGCACCAAAAGTTTTTGACAAATAATCTTATATCTAGCAATAATTAACAGGGTCACCAGAGTAATTTTAATTATCACCTGTGACCATTGAACAATTTTTATCTCTCATTATGGCAAGGTTTGGAGTCTGTCCTATAGGGTATATTTCAAATAAGTGAGAAATAGAAGCCTGGATATTAGAGCTCTGTGGACATCACCATTAGAAGGAGCATTAAGGGGGTGATTTGGGTCTCTAATCACAGGCAGTATATGGGTATGACCTAGGCTCTATTTATTTTATATTTATTTTACTTTTTTATTTGAAGTGATTTTAGACAACAAAAAAATTGAAATTGATGAGGCTTGAATGAGTGTATTTAATAGCTGTGTTTTGAAGATAGCTACTCCACATCTTTCTTTCTGCTCACCTCTCCTTTAGTCTCATACTCTTTCTATATAAGCATGAGGTTTTAGGGAAGGAAGAGGTTTGAAGCTGGCTTTTCAGATACACCAAACTAGTTAAACCTTCCTATGTTCCTCAGTACTCTCCTTAGGAACATCTGAGTTGGGGTTTGAGCCATTGGTTTAGCAGTAGCAGTCTCTGGCCAGCTCAGGCTTCCACTGTGACTGGACAGGGTGGACAGGGTGGAGGTGGCAGCGTTGAGGCTTGCTCACATGTAAGCCAACAGCTATCACATTACTCCTCCTTCTAGCTGTATTTCAGGTCCAAGGTTCCCCTTCACGAGATGTGGGGGAGTCTTAAAGAGAGTACAGGTGTTGATTAATTTCTCTCACTCATGATGCAAGTGAGATTAAAAATGGAAGCTCTGCTTAAGTATTGTTTCCATTTGACTAAAATTTCAAAAATGGACCAACATCCAAAGTTACGTAGGGGAAGCAAATGCAACAGGAAAACTGGCATTAATAGCTTTGCCACTGTGTCCTGCTTGAGTTTTAAACTCTGAAAGTCTTTAATTTGCCACCACTGAGGCTCATCCAGTTGCTCCTTAGTCATCTGGATATGACAAAGGCCTCTCTCTGGACTGTGACGTTCAGTGAATGTTCAGAACTCCCAACCTCAGTGCAGGGTGATTCAGTGGCTACACTGAAGAAAAACCGAAGGCTGCCTTAGCATTAGGAAAACAGCCACAGATGGCAGACTTGAGGCCACCAAAGATACTATTCAGATCTCCTGAAGAGAGTTCATTTTGTTTTTGATAGTTTAAAAGTTAACCAGTTGTTTCTTAAATGTATCTTCGAGGATGGCACATTTTATTCATCACTTTTTTCAGGTACAATAACCTAAAAATAGGAACTAGTCTTTTAATCTTATTAAACTCCTAATATATGTGGTTAGATGCTTTCAGAGATTTTTTTTAAGTTTTAAGAGTTTGATAGGGCCAGGCGTGGTGGCTCATGCCTGTAATCCCAGCACTTTGGAAGACTGAGGTGGGTGGATCATCTGAGGTCAGGAGTTCGAGACCAGCCTGACCAACATAATGAAACCCTGTCTCTACTAAAAACGCAAAATTAGCAAGGCATGGTGACACATACCTGTAATCCCAGCTACTCTGAAGGCTGAGGCAGGAGAATCACTTGAACCTGGGAGGTGGAGGTTGCAGTGAGCCGAGATTGTGCCATTGCACTCCGTCCTGGGCAACAACAGTGAAACTCAACCTCAAAAAAAAAAGTTTGACAGGAGGTATATTGTGTCCACTTGTAATAATCACCAACAAGATTTAAGTATACATATAACATTTAAATATCATTTATATCATATGAGTTTCTTCATAAAATCATAAACATAAAAATCTGTAGATGCCAGTTTTTCTCTAGTTTACCTTTTCTTTTATTGTCTCTCTCTTTTTTTAAGACAGAGTTTTCCACTCTTGTCACCCAGGGTGGAGTGCAATGACATGATCTCCACTCACTGCAACCTCCACCTCCTGGGTTCAAGCGGTTATCCTGCCTCAGCCTCCTGAGTAGCTGAAATTACAGGCGTCTGCCACCATGCTCAGCTAATTTTTGTATTTTTAGTAGAGACGAGGGTTCACCATGTTGGCCAGGCTGGTCTGGAACTCCTGACCTCACGTGATCTATCCACCTTGGCCTCCCAAAGTGCTAAGATTACAGGCATGAGCCACTGTGCCCGGCTACCTTTTCTTAAAATTCAAGAATTTCTTCTCCATCTTTCCTAGAAAATGTTTACGTGGTGTCTGTTTGTTACTCTTTAGTGACAAGAAATTCATCTTATAAGGCAACCTTTTGTTGTAAGTTGTTTATAAGTTTAGGGAAATATGATTTTTTTATAGGAAATACAGCATAAAATCAAGAGTAACATTAGGTTGTTTCACATCTCATTACTTTTACCTTTCATTTTAAAGCCCCATCCCTCCTACCTTTGAATCCCAAAAGTGGATTCTTGCTACATTTGAAATAGCGATGGAAAATTCTCACTGGAATGTTATTCCTCAAATGTGGTAAACAAGAGTGTCATTTTTTAGTTTCGATAAAAAAAAAAAATCAATGAATCAGTACAAACTTTATACCGCCCCAAGTGTTGGCCTCTCCAGTCAGTTCAGTGCCCATACCTCATGTCCTCATGCACAGGCCTAATAATACATAGTGAGGTGGTATCAGCAGTCAGGGTAGTAGGGAAATCTCTTATGTTAGTAGTTCATCATTTACAGGATGCCTGGTTCTGTTAATTTTGTAGAGTATCATCTGTTGCTAACAGAAATCATATACTAATAAGAAATCTAATGTATTTTTTCTTTCTTTTTAAAATTGTTTTTCTTTTGGTAATCTAGTGTTTTTTATTTAGACAGCTTCCAAGTCCATATTCTGCTTAGAATTATACGCATAATATCTGCATGTAACACATTTTTGTATATGTTTCTGAAATTGCCTTCTAAAGTCTACTTTTCAAATCACTTCAAAAAATAATTTTGTGGCCTCCATATATCTGTGATACATATAATCTACATAATAGATTGTCAATTCAACTCTGTGTCTTTCCCTTTAGGTAATATATGGACTTTTAGCCCAACATTGGTTGATAATCATGAGTGTATTCGGGGGTCTTGACATTGCTTGCCCTTATCCTTTTCTGCAGATACTCCGTGAGCACAAAGCAGTCATCATTCAAAAGTGGGTGCGGGGCTGGCTGGCCCGCACACACTACAAGAGGAGCATGCATGCCATCATCTACCTTCAATGCTGCTTCCGGCGGATGATGGCCAAGCGTGAGTTAAAGAAGCTCAAAATCGAGGCTCGCTCAGTGGAGCGCTACAAGAAGCTGCACATTGGCATGGAGAACAAGATCATGCAGCTGCAGCGCAAAGTCGATGAGCAGGTGTGTTTCACAATGGAGCCCTGAGAGTGGCGTATGCCCTGAGAAATCCACTGGGATTATTTTCAATATTGTTTTTCTTTGACTTTACCCCTCAGTCTTAGTAAAAAGTAAAATTATGACAGTATTTATTTCCATAATGAGCATGGAAATATTTATGAACTCATAAGGTGGATGACAATTGCAAAAACTAAGGCAGAAAGTTATTATTATTATTATTAATTATTTGAGACAGGGTCTCACTCTGTCACCCAGGCTTGAGTGCTGTGGTACAGTCACTGCTCACTACAGCCTCAACATCTTGGGCTTAAGTGATCCTTCCACCTCAGCCTGATGGGTATCTGGGACTACAAGCATGTGCCACCACATTCAGCTAACTTTTTTATTTTGTCGAGACAGAGTCTCATGTTGTCAGGCTGTTGGCTCAAGCAGTTCTCCTGCCTCAGTCTCCCAAAGTACTGAGATTACAGGCGTGAGCTACCATGCTTGGCAGGAAATTATTTTTGAGAACACAGATCTACTAATGCTTCAAATCTTTATGACCAAGAGTCATATTGTGTGTCATTTGTTTTTCAAACACCAACTCAAACCAGACATGCTGTATTTTATACGTTGTAATGCTCCATTACAATTATTTGTTTGCATGTGGTATGTTCATTTTACAGATGATTTGTTTAGCGTTAAAATAGCAAAAGAATCAGGAAGATGTTCATGCTTCTGATGAACTTGGAGTCTGTTGCAGAGATAAAAGTTTGGTTGATTAAAGATATTTACTAATGTTTTAGCACATGTAAATGATATAAAGGTAATTAAGAATATAAAAGTGCTAAGGAGAACAAAGAAGAACAGGAATCAGAATGAAACGGGATGAAAGATTTTCTGAGTGGGAGGGAGAAATTTTGAGGTAGTAAACATAAAGATTTGTGAGAAACTTGTGTGTGTGTGTGTTTTAAGACAGTCTCATTTTGTCACGTAGGCTAAAGTGCAGCAGTGCAATCACAGCTCACTACAGCTTCGAATTCCTGGGCCTGTGTGATCCTCCTGCCTCAACCTCCCAAGTAGCTAGGAGTACAGGTGCACACCACAATGTCTGGCTAATTTTTAATTTTTTTGTAAAGACAGGGTTTCATTATGTGCCCAGGCTGGTCTTGAACTCCTGGCCTCTTGTGATCCTCATGCCTCAGACTCCCGAAGTATTGAGACTATAGGTGTGAGCCACTGCACTTGGCCAACTTGTGATTTTGAGGCTGTATTAACCATTCTTATACATCACTAAGCTAGTTTTTAGCCACACTTTGATCTGTTTTCAGAAACAAGTATAGATTCTCCTATTTCTGAATTAAGAATCAAGAAATTAAGAATTTACTATGTTATTCATCTTGTGACTATGAAAAAATCACATCCATGTTGCTTACCACATCAAACAGAATTGAATTAATTGTGCCTGTTTTTTACTTTGTGTCACCTAGAAGGTGTTGGTTGTGCTATTGCAAATGTTGCAGTTAGTGTTTTGGTTAGATACTATATCAATGCTCTGATGATATAGATATAGCATGAATGTGATGAATAAGCATGGTTTTCTCACTAAATACATTTGATGATATGTATATTTACTTATTGTTACTTATGTGTATGTTTAAAGAACAAAGACTACAAATGCCTCATGGAGAAACTGACCAATCTAGAAGGAATATACAACTCTGAGACTGAGAAACTACGAAGTGACTTAGAACGTCTTCAACTAAGTGAAGAGGAAGCGAAAGTTGCCACTGGGCGGGTCCTTAGTCTGCAGGAGGAAATTGCCAAGCTCCGGAAAGACCTGGAGCAAACTCGTTCAGAGAAAAAATACATTGAAGAACATGCAGATAGGTACAAACAAGAAACAGAGCAGGTAGGAATAATGTCCATATCCCCTATGTACTCTGTATACAGAGGAAATGTGCTATCATCGTGACTTGGTCCATGTGACTCACTGTTGGTTTTATTAGAAATGCAGTACAAAGTTTAGTTGAATTACTGTTCATTATTACTATTTCCCAAGCGTTTATTTCACTTTATCAGTGGTAGGTTGTAGGTCTTTTAGTAGAACTTTTTACTCTAATAAGAGCAGAGGCAAAGCGGTATTTTAAGGAGAATGGCCAAGCACCTACTAACCCTTGTTTTTTTTTTAAAAAAAAAAAAAAAACTAAAAAAAAACATCGGTCTGGGGCATAGACTCCTTTTTCTTCAGTAGGGTTAATGTGATTAACCCATTTATACCTGAGGTTGCAAGTTTTTGAATTGCAAAATCAGAGTTTGGTGATGACCCTGAGCAGGAGGATATAAATAACTCCCACATGCTGAGTGATCCAGTAGTGGAACACTAAGCATAATTAATGTTTAGCACCTAATGGTAGGGATCCTGTGGAAGCCTGCATTAAGGCTCTGTTAAGAAGTCCAAGCAGAAGAAATCTAAATGTCTGCACTGTGATTGCAGCCAACAGCTTTATGCAGATGGAACACTCCCCACAAAATGCTTACAGAGTGACCAGTGCTTGTATGCTACAAATTTGTATTAACTTATATCAAAACTTTATTAAGTATAGAAGACATTAAGATTGTCAAGTAGTAATGAGATGTACTACTGAAACATTTAAAAAGTACCTCAACATTAGGCTTCTTGGAAAAAGTAATTGATTTTCACAGATTCCACTGGTATTACCATCTTTAAATGAAAAGAGTTGCCTGTGTCAGCTGTAACTGCTGGCAAGAATCCTGATAGGCTCTGTCTGTACTGACTTCTAAATGTTAAAGCAGCATATGCAGTGAGAACCACAGCAGGAACTTAGATGCAGATCGGTTAGGGTAGGGTGGCTGGTAAAATTGCAGTACTTCATGGCGTTACAGGTCCTAATAAAGTAATTCCTCTTATATCTCTAGAGAATCTGTACTCTATATATAGAAACAGGAGTGCCAAAAGGTGAGATTCTTTTCTTTTTTATATAATGTTTTTGATATGGCAAGCTTGTTCTCTCAGAATTCAGACATGCACTCAAATCTTGAATGTTTAAGATCTCTTTTCTTCCTTCAAGTCTCCCAAGTCCACAGAAGCTTTCCAGCTTCAGATTCCTCAGACAGTACAGTATTTAAGTGTGGTGGGGAGATTCTCCTTTCCTCTTCAAAGCCAAATTCTTGCCTTTCTAGTCTGATAGAATAAACATACAAGCAGATTCAGATTTCTCTTTTCATTTCATTTTCTCCTACTTTTCACAGAGATAACTGTAGGCACTACCATTAGTTTACACGGTGTTTCCCAGGCTGGTCTTGAACTCCTAGCCTCAAGCTATTCTCCCACATTGGCCTCACAAGGTGCTAGGATTACAAGTGTGAGCCACTGCACCCAGCTGCATTAGTTATTTTGATGGAATGTAGTTGTAGGGGAAGAATGAAAACATTTCACTGTGACAGTCAGCTTCAAGGTCAGGAAAATGACATTCTTAGCTTGATTAAGGAGCCCAGAAGCTCTTAACCAAGAGCATGTATCAAAACTGCTGGGAAGTTTTTGTATAAAAAGGGAACTATCCAAGTTCTGGTAGTGTGGGCTAGACACATTATTTTGAAAAAGCACCATAGGTGATTGCTTGTGCACCCCTAGAGGAAGAACCTCTCCTGAAAGCCCACAGAGAGCTGGGGCTTTTTTACCAAGAGTGGATGTTAAGGCAAGATCAGTGCAGAGCTAACAGACTGAGCCCTCGGAAGGAACCCCTTCTGGACTGATGTCTGCTGTGTGTGGCACAGTGTAGTTATCCAACTTTCCTGCTCTCCAGAGCCCTCTTTTCCTGTCCTGAACCCCGTGACATGACGAGAGACTTGCCTGCCACCTTTCTCTCTATTATTAAAGCTCTTGTTTTGAGAGTTCCCTAAACTTTGGCTTAGAAAAAGGAATTCAGGCCGGGCGCGGTGGCTCACGCCTGTAATCCCAGCACTTTGGGAGGCCGAGGCGGGTGGATCACGAGGTCAAGAGATCGAGACCATCCTGGTCAATACGGTGAAACCCCGTCTCTACTAAAAAAATACAAAAAATTAGCTGGGCATGGTGGTGCGTGCCTGTAATCCCAGCTACTCAGGAGGCTGAGGCAGGAGAATTGCCTGAACCCAGGAGGCGGAGGTTGCGGTGAGCCGAGATCGCGCCATTGCACTCCAGCCTGGGTAACAAGAGTGAAACTCCGTCCCAAAAAAAAAAAAAAAAGAAAAAGGAATTCAGATTTTACTCATCACAAGCACACATTTTATTCCAAAGATGAACTGAGTAAATTACGTACTTGGCAAAATTACCTTTGGTTTTTATTTTTCCTTCCTGGGAATTCTTATCCAGCAAAGATCTAGAAAGTTAACAGTCAACTTGTGTGTGTGTGTGTGTGTGTGTGTGTGTGTGTGTGTGTGTGTTAAAATACACGTGACATAAAATTTACCATTTTCACCATTTTTAAGTAGAGAGTTCTGTGGCATTAAGCATATTGACATTGTTGTAATTGTAATGCTTATTTAAACATGGAATTGAAGGACAAGTTCTCAGCCTTGTAAAACTCTTAAAGGGAAATGAAAGAGAAATTTTCTTTCTTGGGACAGATATCAGGAAGAATCAAAAGGTCTTCAGTGAATTTCCCAAACTAAAACATCCTCGTATCCTTCTTAACCTCCTTAATCTCTCCACTTGAATCATGGATACACATAAGCTTTGTGTTAAAGCATTGAGATGAGAAGGTAATGTCAATTACCTGTGAGAGCAAATGCTTACTAAGTGCCAGGCAATTTTTTAACGTTTAAGTAAAAAAACACTACTATCCCGATCCTTCAAGAATTTCTACTCTGTTCTGGAAAAGAGGAAACTAAATCATTTATAATGGATATCAAGAGCATATACAGGGTCTTGTAGTAGCACAGGGAAAAAACAGCTAATGGAAGGGGGTTTCAGGAAGGCTCGTGGGAGGGGTAATGCTTGAGCAAGTTTGTAAGGTGACTAGACATAACCAGGCAAAGACAGGTAGCATAGAGGTGATAGAAGTAAGGAATGACTGCTTATGGTCTTTATCCTTGGTCATCAGGCTTCCTCGATGTAGGGCTGAGGGCCCCACAGGGTCGTGGGGTGAGCCTTATGCTGTGCTGAGGCGCAGGATCAGAGAAATAAAGAGACAGGACACAGAAGTACAAAGAAAATGCAGTGGGCTCGGGGGGGCCACGCCACCTATGAGTGGAGTCAGGCAAGGCCTCGAATGTCCAGAAGCTTAAGTATTTATTGTGTATAGGTTAGGGGGCAGGGCAGTGAGTGAAATCATCTCTAAGGATAGTGATGGGGTCGTGAGCAATAAAACATATGGTCCACCCCCATTAGGTCACCTAGGCTGGGAGGTGGACAGTGTGCAGTAAGGGGCCCGTTCCCATGAAGGCAAGGGACATGTGCAGTAAGGGGTCTACCCCATTAGGTCACCGAGGCTTGAAGGTGGGCTGTGTGCAGTGAAGAGGGTGCAGTGTGCAATACTTCTATCTATGGGAAACTACTTCTATGGTAATACCAGTGGAATCTGTGAAAATCGATTTGTTCTTCTAAGAAGATTTATAGGAGGATGCTTTAAGTCACATAGCAGTGACAGAGCTGTCAGGGTTACCGCCACCTTCTGGCAGCTTCCAGTGAGTTCTATGGGAAGATGCTTTTCGAGCAGCATAGTAGCAAGAGCTGACTGGAGCAAGGTCCTACAACCTCCTTTATCAGGAGGAGTGGCTCTTGCCCCAAGCCTGCCATACAGCGGGTATCTTCACGATACTGAACACTGCCGCCTGGGCCATGAATTCTTGTCCTGGTATAACTGTTTTTCGCTTAAATCATGCTCTGCACTGTGTCTGCTCTAGGCATTCCTCCAATTATAAGCTGCTTATTCCTTAATTCATGCTCTGTACTGTGTCCACTCTAGGCATTCCTCCGATTATGAACTAAGATATAATTATAGGTATATATGTAGGGAAATATTCTTTAGGCACTCATACTATCAACTATTATATGATTATATATAGAGGATTATATAAAGGGATTCTTCAAGCCCTAATTCTATAAACTAATATATGATTATGTAAAGGATTATATAAAAGGGAATAGCTGAGCAGTAACACTATAAAGTGAGATATTCCTCAAGCCCTAACTGTACCAGGTTTCTGCTTAGCTCTCATTCCTCGGTGCCTACATGGGGGGTTACCCACATTCTGTCCATTGCAGCCATCTCAGTGTATTGTTTCATTTCATAGCTGGTATCAAATCTGAAGGAAGAAAATACTTTGCTAAAGCAAGAAAAAGAATCCCTCAATCACCGCATTGTGGAGCAGGCTAAAGAGATGACAGGTAAGGTTTATGTGTGTACTGCACGCCAACCAACCTCACACCAAAGTTGTATAAGCTACAATGTTATTTGATGAGTTACAACATTATTTAGAGTTTAAATATTTTTAAAAGTTGAGGCTGTCATCAGCAAATTTATAAAGTTCCAAGAAGAAGAGAATTAGTTGGTTGATAAACTTGTAAATCTGGTATCTCTAGGTACAAATGTGAACTCCCATGCAGTCAGTGTCATATGTAATTTTTTTAAAAAATTTATTTGTTCTGCACGTGTGATGTATTAATTAAGGCTTATAGGATTCCAGTTGAGCTAATAAGAATTGTTGAGCTAATATGTGTATATTTATTTGTGTGTTTCTGTATGTCTTTTTTTTTTTCTAAATCAATGGATGCTATTCTAAGATTCACCACTCTGCTACCAAAAAAAAAAAAAAAATTCTAATTTTTAAAATAGAGAACTAACTAGATATGGACATTTATTCTGTTTGCTGTTTGTGGGGTAGGCTAGAATGGTGATAAATTTATAAGGAATCCACATATATATAAATATGGGATAAGAAGATACAGATTATACAGTAAATAGTGGTAGAAATGGAAAAGATGGTTTGGAATGGGGATATATGAAAATAATACATTTTCATATACATTCTGTTGATTACATTGATATTCAAAAGAGACAAAAAATGTTCTAAGATTGTATGATGAGGTAGCAAAACAATAATGGTATGTTATTAGTAGTGGGGTTATTGAGAAAAGAGTACAAAGTTATGAGGCAAATTAATGAGGCCAGTTGTTGAAGTGTTAAGTTTGAGATGTCAGCTAAGGTCTCAACATGGAGGTGTTCAGAAAACAAATCCTGATTAACGACTAGAGAAAGAATAAGAAGGGAGCCTAAAGTTACGCATTAAAACCTGGGTGGTAAGAGAGACTGCCCCACCTCTCCTAGTTGAAGGGGATAATGTAGAGGAAAGAGAAGAAAACCCGGAATTAATGGCCATACTAAGGGATGAGATAAAGAAAAGAAGCCAGAAAATAAATTAAGAGGTAATGTAGAAAACAGCCCTGGAAAGAAGGCTGCTGGGAGGCAGCATGGAACAGAAGGATGCAGAATGATGAGAATCTTCTAGGAAAATATAAAATGTTATTTGAAAGTAGACTGTAAACAAAGAAATGACAATGATTTTGCCAAGGGAAAATTTTTTGGTAGACTTGGAGCAGCTTCTGCAAACTGGTGAGAATAAAAGGCAACTTGTAGAATGTTTTAGAGAGAAGAAATTATTTCATTCATTCATTTACACATTATTAAAGACCCGCTCTAGGAAGCACTGTGGTAGGCACCAGGGAAGCAGCTGTGACAAGACACTTGCAGCCCTGGCTTCATGGTGCTCACTGAGAAAGCAGTGGTGAAGCAATGGAAGCAGGCAGGACAGATTAAGATTTAGCTTCCAAATATATGGGTAAAATGGAGCATAGTGGTAGGAAGCTTAATAACGATAAATGTGACTCGTTGGCTGATTAAGTTGAGACATATAGCTGAGATTTGGGGTTTTGTTACTTTGCTTTATCTGCAGCCAGGCGCTAATCTCCAATCTCCAGATCATGGCCTAGCCAAAAGCAAACCACAGCCACAGACGGGGCGGAGGGGGTAGGTAAAATGGAGAAGACAGAGTTTCCTCAGCAGCACATGAGGGATGACTAAGAAGCACACAGCACAGCTGGCCAAGCCTGAGCATTTTATCTGGTTAGAAGCAGGGGAGTATTAGTACAGCAAGGGAGTCAAAGTCATAGAAAATGTAAGATACAGCCGTGGGATGATATGTGAAGGAAGGCTCTATAGAGTAGGACAGTCGGGTCCACTGAAAAGTTGCCATTTTCTTGAGAAATATCTCTGACTTTTTGAGAGAGTACGATAATTTGGGTAAAAGAATTTTATGAATAGAATGCCGTTTGAATAAAAATATATATACCTTAGTTACTAGACAATGGCTAGTAAAAGTTTTTCAAGGATGTGTTGTAACCAGTGTATCAACTAGTGGGACTAAAGCCAGAATATATGGAATAACTCAGTAGATGATATTTTAATAAATTATTTCATTTTTTGTTTTCCTACATTTCACTAAGACATTCTTCATAGATCACAGTGGTACTAATTCCTACAGAGAAACTGGGAATCAGTATACATGTTTACATAATTGCATTCTCAAAGGGCCATCTTTGGTATGCGTATCCTTTTTTTAATTTCAGAAACTATGGAGAAGAAGTTAGTAGAAGAAACAAAACAACTAGAACTTGACCTTAATGATGAAAGGCTGAGATATCAGAACCTTCTGAATGAGTTCAGTCGCCTAGAAGAACGATATGATGATCTCAAGGAAGAAATGACTCTTATGGTGGTGAGTCAAACACTTTTGCTTTTTTTTTAATGAAAAATTTTAAACATATACAAAAGTAAATAGAATAGTAGAATGAACCTCCAACCTTCTGTGTACCTACCACCCAATCTAGAATGTTCAACACATAATCACCTCCCATTCCATCTCCCCAACCCACCCCATCCAATGGATTGGATTATTTTAAAGCAAATCTCAGAAATCATATAATTTTATTCACAAGAATTTCAGTAAAGTCAAACAGTTTAAAGACTGGGCTATGTGATAGTATAAAGTCAGTACAGTTGGGCTTTGTTTTATATATTAATGGCTTTATGTGAAATTTACATGTAGACTGGTTTTGATTATAATTTTGAAGATATATTCCTATGAAAAGAAAATTTGATCTCCATTTGTAATGAATTACCTTATCTATTTAAGGACTCTTCTGCATTTGCCAATGTACCTTTCATACTTCTAATAATTCTGCACATCCTCCCCATTCCACATACCCCGCTACCAGGAAACAAAGAGTTCCCAAGCTCTCTCATTCCCTACAAGTACCAGCCTTAATGGTAACCTAATTATACAAATGACCAGAAATGCTCTGAAATATCTATAAAAAACAAGATAATTCATTATCTGTGGGGCAGAGTATTTGCTTCTATCTGGACCCACTGACAAAGTACATTACAATATGACACTTAAAAAGTCAAAATAAAAGATTATGTAATATAAAAGATAGCGCCTCATCACCTTGCAGATGAGAAAACCTTGTCTAAAAGAGGCTAGAAAGCTAATATAAATTCCACATTGGACCGTTATTTTAAACCTCACTACTCTGATTTATGTGTGACAAAGAGAAATTAGAAGTAGATGCAAGTGACCATTATAACTGTCCTCATAACTGACAAATCTAAGGACCCTTGTTAAGCTTCATCTTCCATGATCACTATGCTACCCGTGGTCCCATTGAAACCTTTCTTCCTTCACATTCTGTAATTTTCAATTTTCTCTAGAATCCTTTTCTTCTTTTTCAGTATTCTTGTTCCCCAGTTCCATTCTTCAGTGTATTTTTGTTTGCTCTATTTACTAGACGACCATGCCATTATTTATGGTTAATATCTGTTTCAGTTGTGGTTAGAGCCAAGTTTTATAACCCAGTAGGTGTTTCTGAGACCCCTAGTTATTTGGGATGTTAATAAGTGGCATTGGAAAAGAAATTTTGAGGTAAAATAAATGTGTTAATCTACCAGTTTAAACAGAGATAAACAGATTTTTTTTCTGCAGAATTTCTTGGATTCTTTAGTAGTGCATGCAATATGAATTTTAGAAAATAAATGAGACAAGGAGGTGCCATACGTGTATCCATCTCTGAGCATATTCCAGAGACATACATCTGTGAGGAGGTTATGAGTCTCTTTAGTTGAGGAGGCGGCCATCTCTAGAAAGGCCCTCCAGTGATGGCATCCTCCAGCAGCTTGGCACGGCTCCTCCTTCCTGCTAAGCAAGTCTGTCTGCTCACCATCTGTTCCCAGCAGTGCTGTAGGGGTAGGGGTAGTTTTAGCTTCTCAATTTCTTATTTCTCGGTCATATGTCCTCTCCATTGTGTGCCTGTGACTCACTGTCATTCCTCTTGGGAGACAAAATGGTCAGATGAAGGGAAAAGGAGAAAGCAGAGGAAAGGAGATCAGAGCTCGCTTGTTTCCCACTCATGTCTTCACTAGGTTTCATTTCCTAGCTCCAGATATAGTCAAGATCACAATCTCTGCAGAAAATACTTGCCCAGAATTGCAGAGAGTAAAAAACTTGACCTTATAACCCAGGACAATTAAAATATTAATGACAATGTCTTATTTTAATGTTTAGGAAGAACTTTACAGCTAAAAGATGAGTACTTGACTAATATTAGACTGACACTGTTCTGCAAATGGTGCTTTCACTGCTTCAATCCAGAGCCAATGAAGCATTTGGTTGTAAACAGAGTCCTCAGATGAGTGGAGGAAACTCTAGGGAGGGGACTTGATATACTGCCTTCAGTGCATCCCATAAACTATGTGATACATGGGCCAAAGAACAGTAATAAGCTAATAGTGTCACTCATTACCAGCCTCTAGAGTTGTTGGCCCTAGGACAAGAAGTATTGTAGCATTTTTCTCCAAGAACAGTCAGTTGTCCAGGGAATATAGGAGCAGAGGCAATGAGGAAGGACCAATCCAGGGCCAAGTTTCAAGCCAATGATGAAAAGATGATGAGGCATGGGAATCCAGGCTTATAAAGTGCTTAAAGATAAATTAATTCCAGAGAGGGGAAGGAAACCAGCATATCAATAGTGGGGTCATTAGTCTTGGCAAAGGGAGTAAAACTGGTTCTGAAAGAAGGAATCATGGGAGAAATCAGCAGCAGAAGAGGAGGGAGGTGCAGATCTTGAAGGAGAACATGATGATCCAGTCAAACATACATCCTTGTAATTAAAAAACTTGAATGGAGGAACAAAATCCTAAAAACAGACAATTGAAAAGTTACCAACAAGGAAGTTGCTGAATCACTGCAGTGCCCCAGCAATCACAGCAGCAGCTGTTAACATTCATTGAATGCTTGTTATGCCAAGCTAAACTCTTTACTTGCACACTCTTATTTAATCCTCATATAAACCCTATGAGATAGAAATTAGTAACCCTTTTTTCCTGATGATGAAACTGAGGCCTAGAAAAGTTGAGTAAGGGACAAGTAAGTGAAAGAGCTGCTGTTCTTGCCTAGCTCTATCTCATTTCAGACCCAGAAGTTACATTAAATAGCAAAAAGCAGTATTGCTTTCATTAATGCCTTAAGGTATTCTTGTATAATGGTAGATATATGTGGGAAGACAGGGATCTCTCTCATTTTTAATAAGCTTATTAAAAATCTTTGTCTTGGTGTCTATCTGGACTACCTGTTTTTCTTAGTGACATAACCAGTTTATTAAATAAATGCTACTCATTCAACTGTGGGCTTGGACTGGGAACTTTAAGTAAGAGTGCCTGTGTCTGTAAACAGTGAATCTGAGTGTCTTTGATTTCATATGCTCCCCAGCTTCTGGATCATTTCAGAGGTGCTGGTGTTCTTGGGTCTTCCCTTCACATTAGAGTACAGGTTGGGCTGGCCTGGAGACTTTTGTTTTTTTTTTTTTGAGTTGGAGTTTTGCTCTTGTTGCCCAGGCTGGAGTGCAATGGAGCGATCTCAGCTTACAACAAGCTCCACCTCCCGGGTTCAAGTGATTCTCCTGCCTCAGCCTCCCAAGTAGCTGGGATTATAGGCATGCACCACCACACCCAGCTAATTTTGTATTTTTTTTTTTTAGTAGAGACGGGGTTTCTCCATGTTGGTCAGGCTGGTCTCGAACTCCCAACCTCAGGTGATCTGCCTGCCTTGGCCTCTTAAAGTGCTGGGATTACAAGCATGAGCCACCACGCCCAGTCTGGCTTGGGAGACTTTTAAGTGCCTCTGGATGAGACTGCTCTCCATGAGCCTGAATGTTGGAAGGGAAGAGAGAAGTTGTTTGTGGCTTCCAGCTCTTTTCCAGCAGCTGGAGAAAGGGACAAAGAAAGCTGGATAGATGAGAAAATTCTCAGAGGCCTTTCTGAAGCCCTCAGGACCTGTAACACTGTGAGATTAAGGGCCACTGGACCTTTCCACCTTTCCTGCTGGGGACATGCTAAGAGTGAGAGACACAAACCCAGCCTTTAATTCCTTCTTCCTTCAAGTTATTCTCTAACCCCTTCTTCTACAGGAGGGAAGGGATATAGTTGCTAAACTTTTCTATACCCCATGAGCTTTCTGAACACTAATTTCCTAGGTATCACATGACATAAAAATGCCACCCAAGTGCCCTGAGGTAATAACCAAAAGCTCTTCTGAGGATTCCTAGAGCAGCTTTCTTACCCCACTGTACTGTCCATTCTGCCCATTGCCCACTGCTCACTCCAGAGATTTAACTTCACTTATTAAAGTAACGGAAATTAGAGCCACCTATGTGAACTCCTTCATCTTTTCTTTTTAACCATTTGTGCCTAATTACCATGCAGTAAAATGATTGTCCATGTCATTTCAATATATCTTAAGAGGTTTTTGGTAAGTTTTATTTGATTGCAACACTAAAGTCAGTGCTTGGAAGCTTCACCCAATGCTTCAACGAGCACTGCTTCACCCAATGTGACTGTTAGCTCAAAGCTTTCAACACCCAAAGGCAACTTGGCTAATAATCACAAGTGATTTTCATTTGGGCATTTGGTTTTGCAACTGTTCTTGTCCATGTCATGCCAGTGTACCTTTTTCTTTTAAGAGGTGACCTTTTTGTAATGATTTGGTCAAAACAATATGGAACAGATCACTTGGGCACCAGTATAAGTCAGGGAGTAGGGATAAGAGCCAAGTCAAGGTGGATGCTGTCTTAACTATGCCTAGACTAATTATGGTGTATTAATTATACCTGGGTTATTTGCCTTGCAGCATGTGCCTAAGCCTGGACACAAGAGAACAGACTCCACCCACAGCAGCAACGAGTCTGAATATACCTTTAGCTCTGAAATTGCAGAAATGGAAGACATTCCATTGAGGACAGAGGTACAATTTAGACATCTGTCACTGAAAGTAGGATGTGACCATGCTGTTATTAACAGGGAGCATTTCCATTGCAGAGCAGACTCCAATTGGCCATAAACATAGGATTTGTTTAAATCATTTATTCTTCATAAGTGACTTGTAGATACAAACTTATCTTATTTACGTTTTTGTACACATAAGTGCTGTGTACATACATACCCATTGCACATATTTTTTGTCAATACAAATTTTTATTTTTAATGTAATTTTGATGGTGAGATTTTATTTTTATAATTGTCTTTCATACCTAACATGGTGTGTGTACAGAAAATATAGCCTATCAGGAATTCATTTCAGACTGAGGCAAATTATTTTATTTATTATTTATTAATTTTTTATCTATAGACCACCTCTGTACTCTATTTTTAGAGTAAGCCCTTTGTCCTTGAATATTATAAACACCAGTGCCCCAGAGTTCAACAGAACTGCTCTCTCTGTTTTATGCCAGTTTTAACCAGTGTAACTTTCTTCTATAAAAATGCATGAAAAATGGTTTAGAAATCTGCTTTAATGTTTTGTGTTATGTGATATGAAACCAAAATGATGTATTACTGAAACTCCAAGAGTACAGTGACTTTTAGTTAGATTATTCCCAACCAATTCTGAGATCTTTTAAAATATGATATAGTTTCAGTAATGGGTAATTCAGGCACAACTGTCCTATTTTTATATCATATTCTTTGAAAATGGCCACATCAGAAATAGACTGCTTCTGGCAGAATAGCTAGAGAAATTGAATAATTCTTTCCTTTCTTGTCTTAGTTCTACTTAAGAATGACATTTCTGTCATCTTATTCTGTTAATTTTGAAGAAAAATGTTATATAGTTGAAATGTTGTATCATTGAAACCAAACATGCAAGAAGGCGAAGTAGTTTGTCCAAGTTCACAGCTTATAAATGTCAGATCCAGTATTCTAACTGAGGCTTATCTCTTCGGAGTTCATGTTCTTAAGCCATTATATTCTATTGACTTCCATCCAGGGGTTCTACACTGTAAGTCTCCAATCGCTTTTCTATCTACAGCTAACATTGGCTGGGGCCCATGGATATGACAGTATGGCCAGTATATAGCAGGATATTTTCATTTGGGCATTTGGTTTTGCAACTGTTCTTGTCCATGTCATGCCAGTGTACCGTCTTCTTTTAAGAGGTAACCTTTTTGTAATGATTTGGTCAAAACAGTATGGAACAGATCACTTGGGCACCGGTATAAGTCAGGGAGTAGGGATAAGAACTAAATCAAGGTGGATGGGGTCTTAACTATGCCTAGACTAATTACGGTGTGTTAATTGTACCTGGGTTATTTGCCTTACAGCATGTGCCTAGGCCTGGACGCAAGAGAACAGACTCCACCCACAGCAGCAACGAGTCTGAATTTCCAGTTATCTATTGCTATGCAATAAATGAGCTCAAATTTTAGTGGTCTTTTAAGAACAGTAATTTATTATTACTCATAATTCTGTGGGATTTGACTGGGCAGTTCTTCTGCTTCACGTGGTGGTAGTTGGAGTACCACAAGAATGTAGCTGCATTCTTTAGAGTGCTTGCTTCTCTTCCTTGGGCCTCTCCAGGTAGCCTCTCTTCAGCAGCAGGTGGGTGGGTTCTAAGAGTGAAAGACTAAAAGATGCCAGGCCTCTTAGAGCTAGGCCCAGAACTGGCCCAGTGTTAGCTGTGCCACATTCGGGTCAAAGAAAATCACAAGGCCAGCCCAGATTCAAGGCAAAGGGAATAGATTCTATCTCTTATTAGGAGGAAAGACATGTATGTTGAGAAGAATCATTGGTGCCATCTTTAGAGAATACCACAAAGTTAGACTTAGAAGATTTCAAAATTAGGACTTCTGAGACTTCAGTAGATAGGAAGATTTTAGAATTACATCCTGTTCATCTCAGTGGGAGTAGTCACTTGCAGTAGTTGGAGGGAAGTACATTTACAAACTGCCCATTCTAGTGTAGTACCACTTTAGCAGCTCCTGCTGGTAGGGGGAAGCCATGATAAAAAGGGTGTGCTTGCTGGAAACCAGTCTGTAGCTCTCTGGAGAATTCACCTGCCAGTCCCTCTTGTTTTGCAGCCCTCCCATGCTTGTAGATCTTCATGGGCTGGGTTTACTTTGCTTTGGAACCAGTGCTTCTGCTTGGCGTGCACCTCTTCTAGGAGCTGTTGACTGATAATCCCCGTTCTCCTTCTGCTCTGGAGCTTTCTCACACCTTTTACATCTGGGGAATGGTCACCAGAACTTTCTCAGCTATCATTAGGAGTTATTTACGAATGACTGCCAGGCTTGTAGTGGTGGTAATTTTGTGAGTAAATTCAGTTATCTTGATTTTCCTCAGATGAGAGACTAGTGTTATTTTTTAGGTAAGTTAAAAAGTTTCAGTCTCTTAGAAAAGCCTTGGTGACAAAGTCCTTACTAAGGCAAGAAAGCGAAACAAAACCTCGGAAACATCTCTGTGACAGCCCAGTCTACCTCCTTGCCCATAGGGTATAGCGAGGACATCTCTTTAATTAGATAGTATCTCTTTAATTAGATGTGTCATCAGGACTCAGAATGGGCACCATCGGGAGCACTCTTAAATAATCACCAATCTTTATGCCTCAAGTCATTTTGCATTTTTCAAATGTAATCTTTTGTGATCATCCATCTTCTATTTTAATATTCTTGTCCACAGAATTTTGCTCTTGTCTAGCAATCAACTAGTAGTTTATGTAGTATTAGCCAATGTCTAAAGAGTTACCCCATCCCATTTTTTCTTTTCTTTTTTTTTTTTGCTACTTCTAGTTGTTAAAACACCATACCATTTTAATAAGAGGATTTCTTTTAAACAAAAATGCCCATTCAAGGCTCAAAGGAATGATTTCCAAATGATATTTTAGGTATAATAAATGAAGTATTATATTCATTTCTAGAATGAAAGGTTCTGTGACAGTGTAAGAAAATATTAAATAATTTAAAATTTCAGGGACATACGTGTACATCGTTAATAAATGAACAAACATTAAAATATATCAGATTGAATATTTAAATTGTTAAGTAAGCTTCAATGTAAATATTTTGTGCTTAATTTTATGGGGGATGCATAGAAAAGAATTTTTATACGAATGAAATTCTGTAGTGATTTCATGTTTAGCAAGATGTTATATCTGTTCTTCTAAGTCAGGACAGACTTTATTATAAAGATATACAGCTAAACTTTTTCCAATTGTTGAGTATTACAAAGTAGGCAGAAAGAAAAAAGTTCAGCTGTAATTAATTTGTGGACAGATGACTCTGACAGCCTATAAATGTCTATTTCTCGGTTAAATTGATTCTTCTCAGATCATTTTTAGAATTGGAATAACACTTAACTCAGCACTGCTCTGAATTCACAAAAGACCAAAGGTAGTTAATGAATATAAAATTCCTGAAAGTAAAAATTATTCAGTCTCATCAAAAGTCAAAGGTGGCCAGGCGCCGTGTCTCACACCTGTAATCCCAGCACTTTGGGAGGCCAAGGTGAGTGGATCACCTGAGGTTAAGAGTTCAAGACCAGCCCAGCCAACATGGTGAAACCCCGTCTCTACTAAAAATACAAAAAATTAGCCGGGAATGGTAGCACATGCTTGTAATCCCAACTACTCAGGAGGCTGAGGCAGGAGAATTGCTTGAATCTGGGAGGCAGAGGTTGCAGTGAGCCAAGATCATGTATTGCACGCCAGCCTGGACAACAAGAGCAAAAGTCTGTCTAAAAAAAAAAGTCAGATAAAAGCAAATTAATGACAAAGTGCCACTTTTGGTCTATAAACAGCTAAATTTTTAAAAAAATTAATCACTGCTGTTCAAGGTAAGGTGGTGGATGCTGATAGAAGTGTAAATTGGCCTAATTTAATGGGCTTTAAGAAGTTACTGTTTAGATATTTATGTACTAGGGTGTTTATTTTCGTAATATTCCAATAGCAAAAAATTAGAAACAACTTCAACATCCATCTGTAAAGTAATAGCTAAGCAAATGGTAACATGCCTGTCTTTATATTTAAATATATTATAAATTTGGGAAACAATGCAATACCAAGTTTGAAAGATCATATGAAATTATAATGACAATATTATTCTAATTATTTAAATCTATAGATGCATCAAAAAAAAAGACTAAGAAAAAATTATAGTTTTTCTGTGGAGATAGGATTATGCCTGTATTTTTCTTCTTTGAATTTTTCTTATTTTCTAAATTTTCTACAAAAGCTTATTCTGCTGTCATATCACAAAAGCAAAAGTAAACATTCTCTTTTGAAACAATTGGGTAGATTTGCAATTATTTAAGAATTATACTTTGACGATTTAGTTAAATAGATGATTGTTGCTATTCTCTCGCTTCTCCATCCCCACTTCTCTCTCTTTAACAAAGGGACTCTTTATTGTCTACATTAATTCTAATAATACATTATTTCTCTTCTAATAGTACAATTATTCTCTTCTCTTTGTAAAAAGAGAATAATTGTACTATTAGAATTAATAGTACAAGGCCGGGCGCGGTGGCTCAAGCCTGTAATCCCAGCACTTTGGGAGGCCGAGGCGGGTGGATCACGAGGTCAAGAGATCGAGACCATCCTGGTCAACATGGTGAAACCCCGTCTCTACTAAAAATAGAAAAATTAGCTGGGCATGGTGGTGCGTGCCTGTAATCCCAGCTACTCAGGAGGCTGAGGCAGGAGAATTGCCTGAACCCAGGAGGTGGAGGTTGTGGTGAGCCGAGATCGCGCCATTGCACTCCAGCCTGAGTAACATGAGTGAAACTCCATCTCCAAAAAAAAAAAAAAAAAAAAAGAATTAATAGTACAAAATTAAAGTACAGTAGTACAAAATTAATAGTACAAAATTAAAGCCTTAAGTAAACATGTTAAAGCAAATAGTACAAAATTAAAGCCTTAAGTAAACATGTTAAAACAATTATGGCACCCACAACTTCCATGATGATGGTTAGTTGTTTCCATTTTTTTTTTTTTGCTTTAATTAGTGTACCTTTATTTATCCTAGTAGTTCTCACTGTGATTCTGTTTTGGAACCAATTGACACACTTTTAAAATGTTATTAGGTTATCCTTCAGTTTATTAAGGACTATACAGGCTCCCCTCCATTTCTGCAGGGGATTGGTTTGTGAATACCAAAATCTAAGGAAGCTCAAATCTCTTATATAAAATGCAATAGTATTTACGTATAACCTATGCACATCCTTCCATATTCTTTAAATCATCTCTACATTACCTATAATAACTAAGACAATATAAATGCTATATAAATAGTTGTTATACTGTATTGTTTTTTATTTGTAATAAAAGGCCAAGACCCATCTGCAGAGCCATGGCTGAGCTTTATGTCCATTTCAGCAGTCTCTTCTTAGTGGAGACACAGCCCAGCCTAACCAAGCAGTGTTTTGTTAAAGTAGTGAGGGCTAACCTCTCTTCACTGTTTTCTGTAGAGGGAGTAAATATTCTAACAGTAAAAATGTGGCAGTCATTTTCATTTTTATTGTTTTTGGAGTTTTTTTGGAATATTTTTGCTCCACAGTTGGTTGAATCTGAGAGGGTGTGGAACCCACAGATACAGAACCCATGGATATGGACGGCTGACTGTATATGTTTTGGTTTTTCAGATTTCAGTTTTCTCTGTGTGATCTCAATATATTTATGCTGGCATTTCATATTCTCAAAAATAATTCTTCCTGATTCCAAATGTGTTACCTGCCCATTGTAAACAATTTAAATATAGGAGTGTGCAATGTAAAAAATGAAACTTTCCCATAGGACCTCCCATTCTCTGAGATAACCATTGATAGCCTTGCAAATTTTTATATGCTGTGCTAGGTATACATTTAAAAGTCACATATATTTGTGTTTTATTAACAAAAACAAGATATATTTAATATATTTTCTGTCCTGCAGTTTGTGTGTTCATGTAACACTTTAAGACATGTTTATCTGCTCATGTTGATATACTTCATTCTTTTTTTTTTTTTTTTGAGACAAGAGTCTTGCTCTTCTGCTGCTGGAGTGCAGTGACACAATCTCGGCTCAATGCAACCTGTACCTCCCAAGTTCAAGCGATTCCCCTACCTCAGCCTCCTGAGCAGCTAGGGTTACAGGCATGTGCCACCACGCCCAGCTAATTTCTATATTTTTAGTAGGGACAGGGTTTTACCATGTTGATCAGGCTGGTGTCAAACTCCTGACCTTGTGATCCGCCTGCCTTGGCCTCCCAAAGTGCTGGGATTACTTTGGTGCAAGGTGTAAGCCACTACAACAGGCCTACTTCATTCTTTTTAATAGCTAAAAAAATATTTCACAGTTTGGCTATACCATAATTTATTTAAGCAACTGTTCTATTGACCGACATTCAGATTCTTGCCCGTTTTTTTTTTTTTGCAAGGACAAACAAACGAACAAAATGCTGCAATGAACATCTTTTTCCATATTTTTCATATATTTGTGTAAGTGTTTCTATAGGATTAATTCCTAAATATAGATTTGCTAGGTATACATATGCACATTTAAATTTTAGTAAGTTCAACAAAATTGCCCTTTTCAAAGGTCTACTTTTACTTCCACCAATATCATATGAGACACCGTGGCTAACACAGCATCATGAATCTTTTCAGTGTTTGCCATTCTGATAGAGGAAAAGTAGTAGCTCACTGTTGTTTAATTTGCATTTCTCCCATTGTTAGCTCGGTTGAGCATTTTAAAAATATATTCTCTAGATGTTTATATTTCTTATTCTGTAAGTTTGCCTATTTTTCCATTGAACTATTTGTCGTTTTCTCATTGGCTTGTATGTCTTCTGGCTTGTCTTGACCATCTTGTGATTCCTGGGGTTTAGGAGCCAACTGAGAAGAAGGTGCCTCTGGACATGTCATTGTTCCTTAAGCTCCAGAAGCGGGTCACAGAGCTGGAGCAGGAGAAGCAGGTGATGCAGGATGAGCTGGACCGCAAGGAGGAGCAGGTGCTCCGCAGCAAAGCCAAGGTGCGCAGCACAGCCCATCCGCAGAACTGAGGCCGGCTTTATGTCCATTTCAGCAGTCTCCTCCTTAATGGGGACTCAACCCAGGCTATCTGAGCAGTAGTTGGTTAAAGTAGTGAGGGCTAAACTCTCTCCATTGTTTTTTGTAGAGCAAGTAAATATTTTAAGAGTAAAAATGTGACAATTAAAATATAAAACTTTTACTTTAAATTTTCCCTAGGAAGAAGAAAGACCGCAAATTAGAGGTGCGGAACTGGAATATGAGTCACTCAAGGTAATGGGAAGTTTCTGCTCAAGACTTCGTATATTTTATTTTGGCAAGAGGCCCACTCAGAGCCTCTCTTTTTCTCAGAGAACATCCTTAAGGGCTGGAGGTTGCACCAGAAGTCCTAGCTTCAGCCTTATTCAGCATTCTTTCTTCTGTTCTTTTTATAAATTCTATTCATATAAGTGAGACTTTAGTCTAAACAGGAAGAGAAGTAGCTGCCGTTCGAGGCTGTGGAAGTAAACGACGTGAACTCTAGCATCAAGTGCCCTGGGTTCAGATGTTACATCTGCCACTATAAAAATCTGATTGGGTGTGATGGGGCAGACCAGACATAGCAGTAGGAATATGGTCTCCAGATCTTGTCCTGCCTCACACAAAAATGAATGAATAAAAACATTCTCTGTAGTATGAATGAAGCCCAGATTCACAAAGTATTAGATTAGTGACTCTCAAAATGTGGTCCCTGGACCAGCAGCATCAATGTCAGCTAGTAACTTGTTGGAAATGCAGATTTTCAGGCCTCACAGTACTAGATCTATTGAATCAGAATATCGGAGGGTAGGGCCCAGCAATCTGTGTTTGAACAAGACCTCTCGGTGATTCTGATACACAGTAAATTTGGGAAACATTTGTAGTTTACACGTCAAAGTAATAACATGTATGTGTCTTCTATTACAGAAATGAGCGATAAGAATCTGATTGCCAGTTGGTGGGAGACAGGGAAGGGAGGGAACATTCATTTTCGCAAAAAAATAATTTATGAAAGAAAGCATTATATATTCTTAAACTAGAAAAAAGAAGGACTTTAAATAATTTTAATATAACACATTGAAAGGACTGATATGGTGCTACAAACCTTAAGATTTTGTCTCTGGGAAGAAACAAATAAAATATTTAATGTTTATACACAAGTGTTGCAGTATCATCAGGCTTTGCATCTTGTGCTAAATGAGGCAGCATGGTCTTTTTAAGTGCCTGTTTACATCTGTCTTGTGACACTTGTGTTCTAGCGTCAGTGCCACTCTATTCTGGGTTCCAATTGCCATTGTTTGAACAGAGCATGGAGTGGGCGGCACTAACTGGTAGCAGGGTCTAGCTGTTAGGACATGAAATACGGGGGCGATGAGAATGTACATATCCTTCTGTATGGCTGGAGAAAGGCCTTCAGCCTCGCCTCCCACCTCCCAAGGCTCTGCTCACAATGTCACAAGCATGTCACACAGAAAAGAAATTTGAAAAATACACTATTTGTTGACATTGAGACACTAAAGGTAGTTTTATTCATTTGAATGATATGGTAAATTTTTTAAATTAGAAATTAAAAGCCTAAAATTTCAATAGTCTTTACATTCTGCTTTATAAAGGAAATAAGAGGAAACTACTAAAGATTTTAGGGATCCACCGATCTGAATAATTCATTGGAAATATCCTAGCCAGCTGGACGCTCAGATTTCCCTTATATTTATCTGCAAACAAAAGCTGGGCTCCATAGCACAGGTTAAACTTGCCCCTTGAGACTCAGAAATCTCTCCAGGCCAGTGAATACACCCTGAGCAGGCCAGAATACATTTGACTCTGGAATTTGGGTTGATGAAGCAAATTTCCATTGACCTTACTCAATTCTACTTGATGTCAGACTTCCTTAATTTGTAGAACAGAGCTCTGGCAGAACCTAGGAAGCCATTCACTAGGGTAGCTCTGATGAACTTTTCCAGCAGAATTCTTTTACCAGCTTGGGGGAATTTTGAGCATCCAATGTAAAGTTGAGGATGACAGCGATGAACTTTTCTTCATATTTCCTACAGCGTCAAGAACTAGAATCAGAAAACAAAAAACTGAAGAATGAGCTAAATGAGTTGCGCAAGGCCCTCAGTGAGAAAAGTGCCCCAGAGGTGACTGCCCCAGGTGCACCTGCCTACCGTGTCCTCATGGAACAGCTGACCTCTGTGAGCGAGGAGCTTGATGTTCGCAAGGAGGAAGTCCTCATCTTAAGGTCTCAGCTGGTGAGCCAGAAAGAGGCCATCCAACCCAAGGTAAGCACTAGCACACAGCTAAACTGGGTGTTCGGGGACTGGCCTCGATGTCTTCTTATCCTTTCCCTCCAGTTTATAATGCAGCAAACACTTAAGAGCATTTTTAATCTAATTGAGGATTCATCATTAAAAAAGAAAATCCCAGTATTGTTTAAAACTGTTTTAAGTATAAATTGGAATGAGCAAAAAGTGAGAGGAATCCCAAATGATCATCAAAGTTTCATCTCTCACTCATGAGTTTTAAAATTAGTCTTTCTGTAGTAATCTGGCCACAGTAAATTTTGATCTAAAATAAAATTTTACTAAATACAAAAATATCTGAATTGTTTTACTGTGGGAAGGCATTAAATACAACTTTAAAATTATTTGTTGAAAATAGCTGGTTTAATTAGAGAAGTAACAGATGAAGTGGTTAGAAGTGAGATCAGTGAATGGAAGTTATGTGGAGATGATTTCTACTCGCTTAAAACAGCTCTGTTTAGTAGGGGGTGCTGTCCCAGTGGGAGGGGCTGTTCAGGGATTCAACAGCAAGGACTCCTGCACTGAGGATATAGACAGTCCTTTGAAGTCCTTCCCTGCCTTCATCTGAAACCCAATGCTGCCATATTCTGGTGAGAGATGAGCCTTTCTGTCATTTACCATCAGAAGGAATCTGATCACCTTGAAAACCTGGTCTGCCTCCCTGCCCATGTGAATGCAGCAGAGCATCACAGGACTTGAGGCAATCAAGCATCCCAACTGTGTGGTGTGTCATATAAAAAATATCCATGATGTATAATGAGCTAGATGCCTGAAAATCTGAGATTGCCCCTCTTAGAAATGGTATTTCTGCATGCAGTTTAGATACCATATCTGGCACATATGTTTGGATTTGATGAAGGCAGCTCATACCTGAGATTGACACTGGTCCAGAAAATATCAAATTCTAAAAACAAGATATTTGACTAAATAATTTGGGGGAATAAAATTCCAGTAATAGTGGAGTTATATAAAGAAATGGGCTTCCTTATTTTGAAACAAATCACAAAACCCTTAAGCCAGAAATGAGAAGAACCCTCATTTTGGCTTGGCTGTATAGGTCACAGCTTCCCCCAGGGCTGTCTCAGTTGGTTCCCTTGGCTACCACTGTGGCGGGGCCTCAAGAAACAAGGCTTGCAGTCTAGCTTGAGCAGAGTCCAAAATCAAGATTCCTTTCTCTAGTTCTCTTGAGACAAGTTATTATTCTTTCTAAAAAGAATTTAATTGACAAATAATAATTGTACATATTTATGGGGTTGCAATGTGGTAATCTCACAAGAAACTTTAGTAAAAATCAGGAAAAAGGAAAAGAAAAATGAAGCAAAAGACATAAAAGCAATCCAGCTAACAGAGCACATAGTTCTGCTATCACACACTCTCCCTTGCCCAGCTCACGTACTCCATGTGACAGCTGCTCTCCTGACCCTAATGGATGGCCCTGTCCAACTAAGGTACCTGCTTGCTCAACTCGAGCCTAAACGTGGCAGCACTGATGTCCTCTCCTAGGAGAAATGCCCATGATACTCATTAGCATCTTCCAGACTCCCTAGGCTGTTTGTCCCTTTTAGTTTCTATTCCAAGAGACACATCATGACACCATTCCATTTCAGGGCAGTGGTGAGCAACACCCTGTGAGCCAGGGGATGAATGAGCCCAGACAGGTCTTGTGTATTGGCTCCACCTTTAGAGTATTCTGGGAATCTTTCCTTGGACAAATGACTTCCTGGGATGGGGGACATAACTTTAACTCCACAGACCTATGATAAGAATTTCACCCACATGCATTAACAGGAGGGTTATTCTCTCACAAACTCAAAGATAATTTTGTAACCAGAAAAGTCAAAACAATTTAAAAAGAATTTCAAGCATTTGTTCCTGTCAGCACATAAATACATGTTAGTGTTCATTTTATGACAGTTCCAGGAGTGTTAATTTATTTACAGAGTTAATTTTAGAGAAACAACTCATGGCTGTTTTTAACTTAGCTTTTATCTATTATGATAGGGACTCATTGAGAAAATTTATTTATGGAACTAAGAGTTTATTGTTTTCTCTGTTTGTTTTTGTGCTTGCTACTTTGTGATTTGCAGGATGACAAGGTAATTATAAGATTTTTTTTTAAGTAAATACTTCTGTTTAATCCTAACTTCAGTTTACAGGTATCCCCCAGTATATGCAATTGATGCTTTCTGACCCAGTCTATTTTGATATTTGTAAATGAATTTCCTATTTGTCTCCTTCTGATTGGGAAGTCAGTAGGGAAACAGGGTTATAGTATGCTCCAGTCTGGATTATAGAGGGGACTTCATGACTTCTGATTCATAGGCAGCTCTGTGACTCACTGCGTAGTTCTGATAGGCCGTCCACAGGCTGGGGAGGGAAGCCCTTTAGTTGGAGTACACTCAAAAGCACAGGCTCTCCTGAGGACTCATGTCTACCAGTGGTGGGCTTGTTGGCTAAGGGTGAAGAGGAGCCTGAGAAGCTGAGCACACTGTTCTTTGCTGCTACTTTCATCTCCCTGAGTGTAGAGTTCACAGCTAGAATGAAAAGTGGCTCATGACAAGGTTGCAAAGTCAAATTTCTCTACAATATCGTGTTTCCTTATATACTGAGAGAGATATGGCTGGGATTTTCTCATATAGCACAACACTTTTAGAACTTCTGGTCACAGGTTAAGAGAGACAGAGTCTGAGCACTGAGTCAGGAACATCCTAAATGCTGGTGGCCCAAGTCTAATACCATTCCCCAAGTGCCACATTTTAGCTAAGGTAGTCAGCATGAGGAAAGAATTGGCGACTTACTGCCCAGGAGAGCAGCATACTAAGAAGCCTATCTTTCCTTGGATTAGCTAATTTGATCAAGTTACCTCATTTGCTAAAAGTTCAAAACCATACCATGTAAATCTTGAGATATCAGAGCGCACACAGATAGCATTATGTGATGTAAACACCTGGGTCTTTGAAAGTTATTACCTATGGGTCTTAAAAATCTGAGTATGGCCCTTTATGAAACAGAAAGATTTTATTCCTTTCAGAGAAAAAGAAGTTCTCTGTAAAATAGGTACTAAAATATTTATAAAACATAGCTAAAAAAAACACTCTGTGGTGTTAATGGGAAAGCTTTTTTAAAATTCAGTAAAATGTAAGCTATTTATTAGTATATTATGTGAGATTATAATTGGTCTTCTCAGAGGAAGCATTTATAAACTTACAAAAGGATAGCATTAAGAGAAAAGTGGTTTTTTTTTTTTAAGGATTTTTAAAATACACATTGAAATTCAGAAACAAGCATTTGTAGTCTCTAGTTGGCATTAGAGTTATCTTGGAACTTGTCTTTCTGATCATGGTATTTGAAGTATATTTTATTAAGTATTTGAAGTATATTTTATTAAGTATGTTTCATTGCAAGGCCTGACCTTAATGTATACTAAAGAATCAAACATATACTATTTAGACGAATAGGTGGTCCAAAAGCTTTTGAGTTGAATTTTATATAGAATGTTTCCATTTAGACAAACCACTGGGTTCTGTAGTGTATTATTTTTTAGAAGCTAGACAGCAGTGATTTTTTTTTTTTTTTTTTTTGATTTAAGTTCTGGGATACATGGACTGAATGTGCAGGTTTGTTACATAGGTATACATGTGCCATGGTGGTTTGCACAGCAGTGATTCTTATCTCTTACTCTTATCTAGAAAGATAGAGTAGCTGAATAGAAGATTTTGAAATTACATTGGTTGTCAGATATATCTGACTAAAAGGAGAAAATTTTAAAAATTAAAATGACAAAAAGTTATTTTTAATATTAATCATTAATAATTCTGACCTGCCAGATATTTATTTCAAAAGCTTACATATTATAGTATATTATACTGGAGGAAAAAAGAATTGAATGTGAGAAAAAAAACTTAATTTTGCTGAAGCATATCATCTGAATACTACCTTCTTTGTTCTGAGTTCTAAATGAAAAAGTGAACTTTATGTCAAACTTTCAGTGTTTTATTGGGGCATCTGCTTCATTGTAGCTGGTAAAGAAGTAGTGGAAAGAATGGCTTTGTACAGTCCATTAAATATGTCCCTGCTTATTTTTCAGGCACGTACCACCATGCCTGGCTAATTTTTTGTAATTTTAGTAGAGACAGGGTTTCACTATGTTGGCCAGGCTGGTTTCAAACTCCTGACCTTGTGATCTGCCTGCCTTAGCCTTCCAAAGTGCTGGGATTACAGGTGTGAGCCACCATGCCTGGCCCATCAGTGATTTTATTTGCAGGGCTGAGGCACTGTATAATCTTCCTACCTTTGTAGGAGAGTGCTAGTGTTTCTCAGAAGAAAAACTGAAGGTACCTCTTTTCCTTAACTACCTTGACCAAACTCCCCTCTGCCATTACATAAGGTTGGGGCTGATACTTTGGTGGGTCATAGGTGTGGTGGAGCACATAAACCCCCTTGTGATTACACCCAATAAGTGTGTTATATGTCTAAAGCTTTTTTAGTATAATCTTAATACGTAAACATGTTATTTCCCCCCTCAGAATACAATGACAGATTCCACAATACTTTTGGAAGATGTACAAAAGATGAAAGATAAAGGTGAAATAGCACAAGCATACATTGGTTTGAAAGAAACAAACAGGTAAGTTGATCCTTCTTTTATTCATTTTGGTTTAATATATTGATCGTTAGCCTTCAAGATAGCCTCTTATACAGTAAGTGTTTAAACATTCCTTTATATTAGACATTAACTGGCTTTCAAAGGGAATCTAAAGTTTCCAGTGTATTTCTAGTTAAGATCCTCACTTATAAGGTAGTAGTATTGACAAAAGGTGTCAGGGAAAATGTTCTTCCTGTTAAAGGAAGATTTTTAAAATATTTAATGCTTTAGCTTTAAGGGACTGCCTTGAGAAGAAAACCACCTGCTCAGGTCATACCATCTTAGGTCGCCACTTTCATTTGTTATTCAGGATTGTTATTTGTGAAGGTTTGTAGGGGCGATTGGAGTTTTTAATAGTTGAAACTTAGAATGAAGAGAAGTGATGAGGTACCAGGAATCACTCAGTGTTGGCCATGTAACTCGAAAACGGCACCATGACTTCTAGGATAGGAGAATGAAAGCTCATATCTGGAATTCCCCTTGGCCTTACTACTACCCTCCTAATCGGCAAAGCCTTAGTCTATTGGTCTAGGTCTCTTGATGGATAGTTTCAGGATTGGTAAACATAAATACTTTATAAACCAAAGAATATTGCCATGCAAAAAGTAAGATGCAGTCGGCCTTCAATATCCAAGGGTTACATATTTGTGGAGTCAACCAATGGAGGATTGAAAATATTTTTAAAATGTTTATTCTTATTATTATTTTTGAAATGGAGTTTCACTCTTTTGCCCAGGCTGGAGTGAATTGGTGTAATCTCAGCTTGCTGCAACCTCCGACCCCAGGTTCAAGCAATTCTTCTGCCTCAGCCTCCCAAGTAGCTGGGATTATAGGCATCTACCACCACGCCCGACTAATCTTTGTGGTTTTTTTTAATAGATATGGGGTTTTGCCGCATTGGCCAGGCTGGTCTCCAACTCCAGACCTCAGGTAATCCACCTGCCTTGGCCTCCCAAAGTGCTAGGATTACAGGTGTGAGCCACTGTGCCTGGCTAACAACTATTTTCAAAGTATTTACATTGTTTTAGGTATTATAAGTAATCTAGAGATGATTTAAAGTATACAGAGGACATGCATGGTTATATGTAAATAATATGCCATTTTATATAAGGGACTTGAGCATCTGTGGATCTTGCTATCCAAGGGAAGACCTGGAACCCAACCGATATTGAAGGATGACTGTACTTCTTATCTTCTTTTATGGACAAGGGTGGAGAATGCTTATAAAAATACTTGGTTAAACTTTATCAGTGTAAATTATAAGCATATGTTATATCTAAGAATGTGTTAATATAGAAAGAATTATATTGTATCACACTGTTATTTCATCTACTTAGCTATTCAATCACCAGTGTGCCTGCTTCATGCCAGGCCCTGTGCCACATACTGGGAATACAGTAATAAGCAAGATAAATGCGATTCCTACTCTCACCGACATTGTAGGCTGCTGGGGAGACAGCTGAGAGGGTTTGGACTTTATTCCAAAGATAATGGAATCCTCTGAAAGGTGTTAAGTAGGAGAATGGTGTGATGAGATTTGATTTTTAGAAAGCTAGCCCTGTATTCCTGTAACCCAATGATTATCGTGACTTGCAGTTGGCTGGTGGCAGTTAGGATTGACAGAAATGGTATATTTTGAAAGCTACATAAGAAGATGAGGTCAGAAAACCGTAGGGTTTATTGGATGTGTGGGAGAGGGACAAAGAAGCCTGAAGATGACTCCGTGGTATCTGCTCTCTTGGTTAGATGTGCTGATACCATTTTGTGATCATGGGACTGGAGTGTGGGGAAATACACGGTGAAGATGATCAGTAGATTTATACATACTGGATTTAAGGAGCCGGGAAAACATCAGAGAAAGATATCTATTAGGCAGTTGAGTGTACTGAGATGTAATTTTGAAGTCATCAGAGTATAATAGTACAGTGGAAATCATGTAAATAGATTAATTTTCTAGAGACAGATGAACTCTCTAGATGTAAAGAAGAAGACAATGCCTGGAATTTGTGTTATGTAAACATAATGACAATATAGCAGGAATAAGAACCTGGGCTCCAGAGTCAGTGCTAGGATCCACTACTTACCAGCCGTGTAACCTCTACAGGTATCTTACTACTAAGCTCCTATGTCTTCCTCTGCAATGTGGCAAATGACTTATGTTGGCTTACTAGGGAAACTAAATGAAATAGTGCATGTGAAAGAATGTAGAACAGCATCTGACACTGAGCAAACACTCAAAAAATATGATTTTTATAGTCTAACTAGAAAATAAATTACTAACATCATAATTACTAATTATACATATTTTAATAACATGTGCTCTATCTCTAATATAATAGCAGTTTTTCCAGTTCCTACAATTAATTTTTGACACAAAAAAGCTTTTAAAAATCATGTCATAAAAGCTGAGAACTTTGGACATATTCTGATTCATGTTACTGCTATAAGAATTTTTAAAACTGTTTTTTTAACATGGGAAATTAGATTTTATTAAGCTAAAAACGTTCCTACCTAGAAGACTTAAAATTCATTTTGAAAGATAGCATGAAGATCGCCACACAAAGATAGTAGCTGAAGTTTTCATTCTATACGTTTGTCATAGTTAACCTCTAATATAATATGTGATATATTAGATCACTTTGCTAGCTGATTAAAACATGAAAAACAGAACCTCTTTTTCACCTTCCAGTCATTTCTTATTTTGCAGGAAAAGTAGTTCTATATCCTTGATTATTTTGCTTTAATTTCTACCCATTTACATGTGATGCTACTCATTTTTAAAAATTAACCAAAAATAATTTTTGTGGTAATGTCTTAAAGTTGTCATAATGAATAACAATCTTTCTTGTGTAATGTTGAAGTACTGTGTACTGCTGTTGACCATCGTCACCTCATCACCATCCTGTATCCTTTTGTGTTTTGCATTGTTGTTCCTTTTGCATGGAAGATCATCTGCTCTGGATTGCCATGAGTTGAATGAGGATGGAGAGCTGTGGCTGGTTTATGAAGGGTTAAAACAAGCCAACAGGTTATATTCATCTTCTCAAAATGGAATGTTATTAATTTGTTGTTTTTCTTACTAACAGTGGCCTCCTGACTTTCACTTCTGTATTTCTTGTGCCTTGATTGGCCTCTTGGGTAAATTAATTTCAGTAATTGTGTTATATGTCCAAAGTTTTTTAGTAAAGCTGAGAACATTCAGCCACACACCTTCTTTTTTTTTTTTTTTTTTTTCCCCCTATTTTATACAGTCTTGCTCTGTTACCTAGGCTAGAGTGCGGTGGCATGATCTCAGCTGACTCCAACCTCTGCCTCCCAGGTTCAAGCAGTTTTCCTGCCTCATCCTCCTGAGTAGCTGGGACTACAGGTGTGCACCACCATGCCTGACTAATTTTTTGTATTTTTAGTAGAGATGGGGTTTCACCACGTTGGCCAGGCTGGTCTCAAACTCCTGACCTCAGGTGATCCCCCTACCTCGGCCTCTCCAAGTGCTGGGATTACAGGCATGAGCCACCACACCTGGCTTAAACACCTTCTTTAAAAACCTTCACTACCAGATAGTATTAAAGCTAAATTTGTTTGGTGGTAAATGTAAGAGACTCCCCTTCAGACACTAAAATTTGTGAATCTTTCTCTCCAGGAGTTGAAAGAAAAACAAAATCTTTCAATTAGGTCATAAACTATTGGGGGAGAGATTAAGGCTTATTACTTAGACAGTGGCTTCTCGAATCCTGTAGATAGATCTACAGGATATATGTGCCTATTGCAATGTGGCTACACTTTTTTTTTTTTTTTTTTTTTTTTTTTTTTTT